AAAGTTTGCGGTGGGGTAGAATGTTAACAATATTACCCAGTGAATTCTGTTACTACTGGCTCTTGAATACTGGGACCGGCTCAATCAATAGTAGGACAGATTAGATGAGTACTGGAACAGATTAACTGGATGTTGACACACGGTGACTGAATGCCGGGAGTGGCAAAACTGGATATTGGGCGTGAATAACTGAATACTGGGCGTGGCTAACTGAATGTTGACACTGGCGAGCTGAATGATGGGAGCGGCTAACTGAACACTAGGAGCGGCTAACTGAACATTGGGAGCGGCTAACTGAACATTGGGAGTGCCTAACTGAAAACTGGAAGCGGCTAACTGAACGTTGGGAGTGGCTAACTGAAAGTGGCTTGGGAGTGGCTAAGTGAACATTTGGGAGCGGCTAACTGAACGTTGGGAGCGGCTAACTGAACACTGGGAGCGACTTACTGAATGTTAGGAGTAGCAAACTGAATATTGGGAGTGACTAACTGAATACTGTGAGTGGCTAACTCAGCGTTGTGAGTGGCAAAATGAATGCTGACACTGGCGGACTGAATATTAGTAGTGGATGGTTAAACGCTGTGAGTAGCTAAATGAATATTGGGAGTGACTAACTAAATACTGTGAGTGGCTAACTCAGCGTTGTGAGTGGCAAAATGAATGCTGACACTGGCGGACTGAATGTTGACGTGGTAAAACTGGCGGGCTGGATGTTGGCAGCGGCAACATGGGAGTGTATTATGTGCAATGACGTCGACTATGATAAAACAAAAGCATGTCGTAAGAGTCCACTGTGGGCTTCTTCGAAGTCAAAGTGCATCTGCCCGAGAGGCAAGGAACCAATAGTCTGCATACGGGTAAGACAGTTCTGTAAAAAGGATGCGGAAGCGGCATTCAGGTTCTGGAACAAGACTAAGGTCTAGAGGTGGACGAACAACTTGAACTTTCCGCCGGAGATTACAGACGGTGAACGCAAAGAAGAAGAAACTGTCTAAAATGGGTATCGAGGTAAAGTCCTGGAAAGTAAAGGCAGCAGGTGGTGGCTATCCATAACGTCCAACTTATTCCGATTAGTCAGTTAAAAAAATATATAAGTCTTGCACAATATGTTATTTGCGTATCCTTTACAGGACGTTGCAGAACCAGCTTTAGCATTATTTGACTTTTATGGTTTCTCTAGGCAAATTTTACGTTCAATAGTTTGTCATTGCCCCTGAACTATCAGCTATCGGTGCCATTGTCGAAACCAACGCAAGACAAATCACGACCGGCTCCAGCTGACGGGCCGTGCTGCTGACGTCACCGCGTCAGGCTAACGATGCGGTAACGCAGCGGTTCTCAAACAAGATATAAACTATTTTCGACAGTGGCAAGGAAAGACAACTTAAATTATATCTTTAAGTATCTACATGCCTTCTTCATTATTTCACATTTTTAGCCGACTTTTCTTTATTACGCGGCAGCCCTGGCATACGCTCAGGACACCCCAGGCTGCCCCAGCACCCAGTTTGAGAAATGCTGCGTTAACGCATCGTTAGCCCGACCCGGTGACGTCAGCAGCACGGCCCATCAGCTGGAGCCGGTCGTGGCTGGGCCCTTTCAACTGATAAGATAAAGGGGAATTAACTTGGTCAAGCAGAAAACACAATGGCTTCACTGACCGTTTTTTCACACCTGTCAGATTAGTTGTAAACTAGATTGGGCCACTTAAGAATGTTTGCTCGAGGGATGTCAGTCCAGAATTGACTGACAGGCACTTTGTTAGCTAATTTGATCTGCAAGGTACTTCTGGGGCGTGGCTTAGATCTTCTCCAGTTGGACAGGGTAGATACTAGGAAGGGGAGGAGTTTAATTTGGACAATAGATTGATACTTATACTGCGAGCATTTTAAATTTACCTCATAGTGCAGCCAGCTAGTCACAATCAGATTTACAGTAGAAAGTATTTCTCACTGGTTGAGTCTTGTTTGGCAATTGCTGGAACGTTTCTAGGTATGAGTATATATTATTTTAAATCTTTTATTCATAGGTTAGGAGCTAGCTCAGTCTACTATTCCTTCCTGGTGTAACCTATTTAACATTCTGCTTGAAATAGTTCTTTGTGAGTATTCGGTTATCTCAGTTAGTGAACTGCTGAACCATTCCTATCTCTTGTATGTTTGTATAACATGTTTTTCAGTGTATGTTTTCATGTGTATAAAATTCTTCTTCTTCTTCTTCTTGTTCACCGGCTGTGAATTCCGGCGGTAAGTCGCGGTTGTTCGTCCAAAATGGACTTTTGGCTTTTACCTTGACCTGAGTTTTGCGTGTACATCCGTTTTACTGGCTTATTTGTTTGCAGTACTCGTTCCCCGCCTCTCCGGCAGATGTACTCCGACTTCGGAGGAAGACGTCAAGCCTATTTCTAGGTTGACTGTAGCCATTGTTTTGTGTGGGTCGAGATGTTGCCTCATTTGTGTGGTGTCCTCTTTGACTTTTAACAGGTGTGGCCCCCGGCATGTCGTCCTTAAGGCAGCTCTATGTAGAGTTTTCAGCCCTCAAGGGAAGGCAGGGGCAGATCATAGGCATTCCCCGCCATCCAAGGAGGCTTCCATAAATGCAGAGCCGACACATGATACTCTGGTTCTGGGCTCACCCAAGGAATCGTCACGTCCTGCCCATGACCGCGCTACAAGGCTGCGCTCTCCGGAGATCAGCGGGGAGCAGCCCGCAGGTCTAGGACGTTTGTGGCCACACAAATAGGTACATTCTTTTTCGTCTTACGTTAGACACCTTTAACGTTGTTTCAGCTGTGCCCTTAGCACGACAAAATTGGGAAGCAAAATGCGTCAGGCGTGGCTTCACCTGTTTGGTCCCAACACTCGGGCGAGTTGGACCAGTGGATACGGACATTCGGACTTTTCCTAATCGGTACGAATTATGATCGTCGGACTCTGAGCTTGCATGTGTGCCGTGGGGTATAACTTTGTCGGACATTATTTCCAAACCAGCATATGAAAAGTTGCTGCCGTGGTGTACCTCAGCGCGGTGACGACGACACTGAGGATTGACAGAGAATGTACGTAGGTAGGATCTTGCTGAGAGAAGTCGCCCACAAGAGATGTTACTCGTCTTGGTTGCGGGTAAATCTCTCGGTCAGGGTTGAGTCTCAGCAGCACAGTTTTAAATTCCCTCCCGAATTTTAACCAAGAGTTGTCATTTGATGGTACATTTAGCAAGCAATTCTTGAGTTTTGTTAGACTTTTCACCCATGCGTTTGGGGGCGGGCTGGTGAGAGCCAGAAAGGACACTACACCTCTGGGGGCCGCCAGCTCCGAGATCCCCTGCCAACTCTGTTAATGCTCATTTGAGACATTATCCGTGGCGCACGACGGGGACGTGCAACAGGAGTCTTGCATGAGGTTCCGTAAAACCAGAACAGCGAAGGACTGGCGCCCGAGTGGAATACGGAGTATCTCCTTATACACCTCACATCAGACTTAACTTTGCCTCATGCCTGTGACCGAAATCACCTCGCCACATGTGTATAAAATAAGATGTGAACAATGACATTTGCTATAATGAAATGTAATTATATTGTTTCAATTATCAACCCAAACCATGTGCTTGGACTGTGGGAAAATCATGCCCACAAATGCAGCCATGTGGTTGCATTTTAATAGCTCACCATGTGCTCACTGGAAAGACAATATTCCAGACAACAAGACCATATAAAGTGGTTGGAGTTTTCAGCACATAACCTGCTCCACGTGTTCATGTAAAAACAATGTTTGGAAGTCTGAGGGAAGACGGACAGCAGACTTTGGAAGTTAACTATCATTACAGTACATGAAAGAGAAGGCAGGATATGTGACGTCATGTGAGACATAAGACCTTCAGACTAGTCTGGAGAGAATGTGGAAGATTGAGGAGGAGAGATGTTATGTCTATATATATATATTGTATTACTATTAGCATGCTTAGTGTAAGTATAGATACTACACATATGTGTTTGTTTCACAGCTCCCGTCGGGGTGAAGACGTCTGCTCTGATAGAACTAGATGAAACATGCACGAACCAACGTTGTTGGAGATCGGCAAGCTGGAAACAGGCATAGAAGGAGGCGGAAAAGCTTGACAGTGTTTCACGGCTGTCAGACGTTTATATGAAAGTTACGACCACACATTGTTCGTAAACTTATCACCATCATCACATCACTCTAATCCCAATAGCTCAGTATCTCATTACTATCACACCATCACCCAGTCACTGTTTGTGTAAACACTACAAACTGGCGAAATTTATTTAACTGATTGTTAGTAAATAAAGGTGTATGTCAAGTTTTATACTGCATCGTTTGTTGAATTCCAAATGTATTCAGTCTTACCTGTTTAACTAAACAGTTAGATAAAATTACATTTGGTGGTGGCTCATTAATAATTATATACCAGGAGAGGAGAAAGTCGGAGGGGTTAACTGTGTATCTTGATAACTCATTGGGTTCATCTTGATATCTATCCCTTCGCCTACTTCTGTGGGTTCTAAGTGCAGCTATTGTGTATTTACACGACGAGCCAAATATGGCTGTTTTCTTGGATATCCAGGACTTCGTCTGAGATCAGTATAGCTCGGATAATAGTCTAGTTTCTCTTGTGGAGGTGAAGTGTTGAGAGGTAAACTCCTACTCATCACAAAAGCATCTATCCACTTTGGGACCCGCGACACTCAGATGCCTGTTTAATATAAGTATGTTCTAATGCTATATTTAAATTCTGCTTCTTGAGGCCCCCTCTTGGAAGGAGGGATAGAGGAAGACAATAAGAGAAGATTATTGACAGTCTTGTTGCACGTGTCAGCACGCGAACTGATACATGCTGCAGGAGATCGCAGATTGTGGAGAGACATGATAGCCCAAGGAAGTCGTCAAGGCACCTTATGATGATGATAGCCTAAGGGGAGCTTAACCGGATATAGGACATTCGAACATGTACACATTGTCTTGCCACACTGGCTCACTCACGTTTGTATAGCTGTCTATTGCCTTCCTGTAATAGCCGTTTCTAAAAAGTGCGTCTGCTTCTGCTTTTGAATTCCCGTAGGCGCCTATGAGTACCGGCGCCTCATTTTCGTTCCTGAACAAGGCCATACTCACTTTAAGTATAACCCCAGATTTAAAGTAGTATTTTTTGTGGTAATTATGTGTATACACTTGTGAGATTCAGAATGTCGGTTCAAAAGATTATATTCTGTAATATAAAATATAAGATTTTATATGTTATCAAAAGTCATTTGAACTCAAAATCGTCAGCTCAGGCACTGGGTTCAAGATGAACACACACATGCATGTAACAGAAGCTATACTGTATCACAAATGAACGTAGTTTTGGATTCATTGTGCATGTGCACTTTTGGTGGGCATCTTTTAATTGTGTGTGTGTGTGTGTGTGTGTGTGTGTGTGTGTGTGTGTGTGTGTGTGTGTGTGTGTGTGTGTGTGTGTGTGTGTGTGTGTAATACAATGGACGCTACCTGGTATAGAAGACCTTTTTCTATCTGTCCGAAATACAGTGAAGATCAGAGCCTGTTCATGAATTTAAAGAAGACAAAAATAATGTCCAAATACAAAACTGATTGCCCCCACCCCGCGCCCATCCCCTTGTCCCCATCTCTAATCATACAGAAATTGAAAATCTCGCACATTTTAAATATCTAGACTCAGTAGTAAACAATGTGTTGTTGTTCGTACATCGCGAGTGATAAGGACCACTTTCATCCAAAGTAGTAATGATCAATTATTATGAGTATTAAAATGTTGGATGAAAGTGACTTGCGCAAGGACTTGAATTTAAGTGAGGAAGAGTTGTACAGTTTGCAAAGAGCATTATCTCGCTTCTCACATTTCTTGTCCAGGAATATCTGTCCGCTGCAACTCTCTCCTCTGGTGATAAACAATGGTCTCTCGAAGCAACCCCTGGCACCTTGTTCTAGCCCAAATCGAGCAACCCTTGGCTCTGCCAGAAGCTACCAGGAAATCTGGCCAATGCTTAACACTCAAGGGAAAGGCAAGACGGATATACAAGTAAACATTTACTGGTGCCTTCGGAATTGGAACTCTTCGTTTGCTGTTGAAAAAGGGGGATGGATCGCTTACGGGAGTGTCCCGAGTACTATTGTGTCGATTCTCAATTCAACATTCTTTCGATGTTGTGTCATCTTTAATGTACTGTGCGGACAGCATTGCAGACATAGATCATTTATTTCAAGGAACGTAAGAAGACGAATCATGTACTGTGCTTTTTTTTTTATCGATCACCGGCTGTGAATTCCGGCGGAAGGTCCTGGTTAATCGTCCGCTTGGACTTTTGGCTTTCACCTGGACCTGATTTTTGCGCGTACAACCGTTTTTCTGTTCCCTGCCTCATGGGCAGCTGTACTCCGACTTCGAAGGAGGACGTCAGGCCTATTTCTAGGATGACTGTGGCCATTGTTTTGTGTGGGTCGAGACGTTGCCTGATTTGTGTGGTGTCCACTTTGTCTCCTTCTCCGCAGGTATTGCCCCCGGAGTACCCCTTTGGGGCAGCCCCCTGTGGAACGGTTAGCCCTCAAGGGAAGGCAGGGGCAGATCATGGGCATTCCCCGCCATCCAAGGAGGCTTCCATGTATGCGTCCTGCACATGCCTGCTTAACCTCACAACAGTATCAGGCCTCCCGCTCGACAAGGGCTGCGCACGTTAGATTTCTTTGACGAGCCGTTAGCCCGACAGAATTTTACATCCTGCGTCAGGCATATCGTTATCAGTTTGGTCCCAACACTCGGGCGAGTGGGGTCTATGGGTGTGGACATTTGGTCTTTTTCCGTTCAATACAGATTGTGATGGTCAGATTTTGAGCTTGCTCGTGCGCCGTACTAGTTTTGTCGGACATTTAGGCTTAGCCATCTGATGGATAGTTGCTGCCTTGGCGTACCTCAGCGCGGTGACGACGACACAGAGGGTTAACCAAGGATGTACATGGATGGCCAGCCTATGGATGGTTGCTGTTGTGGTGTACCTCAGCGTGGTGACGACGACACAGAGGGTTAACCAAGGATGTACATGGATGGCCAGCCTATGGATAGTTGCTGTTGTGGTGTACCTCAGCGCGGTGACGACGACACTGAGGGTTAACCGAGGATGTACATGGATGGCCAGCCTATGGATGATTGCTGTTGTGGTGTACCTCAGCGCGGTGACGACGACACTGAGGGTTAACAGAAGATGTACATGGATGGTCAGCCTATGGATGGTTGCTGTTGTGGTGTACCTCAGTGCGGTGACGACGACACTGAGGGTTAACAGAAGATGTACAGTGAACAATGTTCTCTTCACTCAGCAATCTTTTAACCAAGGGTTGTAATTTTAGCTGTGCGTTTGGCAAACATACTCATGTTCCTAATGAGTTTTGATAACCTTTTTCACCCAAGCGTTTTGGGGCGGGCCGATGAGAGCCACAACGACACATCACCTCTGGGAGCCGCCAAACTCCGAGATCCCCTGACAGCTCTGTTAATGCTTATTTGAGACATTATCCGTGGCGCACGACGAGGACGTGCTGCAGGGGTCTTGTGTGAGGTTCCGTACAACCAGGATAGTGAAGGACTGGCGCCCTTATACACATCATGTTGGACTTAACTTTTCCCTCGCGCCTGTGACATAAATCACCGCGCCACATGTACTGTGCTGAAGTAGCCTTTGAAGGGCACTGGCCTAGGTAATATTATGTGGAAAACCATCGATGCTGACCAAGGAAAAGGCAGTGGCCAATACAACTTGGCATCAGTGCTGACACTATATGTATTTTCGAATAACAACCTCGTGGGTTGAACAGGATATTTATGCAACTGCTGGTGCTGCTACTGCTGCTTCTACTGCTACAGCTACTACTGATACTACTATTACTCGTCTGCTGCTGTCCCGCGATCACTATTACTGCTGCTGCTGTTGTTGCTACTATTATTTGAAATGCATCAATCATTTAGTTTGTTTTTATTTCATTAAGTCAATCAATCAGGCGCTGTCTTTTTGTACTGGATCTGCTCCGAATCTAAGCTCGCTGAGACCGCTGTTTGTCCATCTCTTGTATTCCTATCTCTCTTGGTTCACATCTCCCGACTTTACCCTTCAGCTTTTAGGAAATATAGTACGACAGGGTAATCATCATCATCATCCTTTCCACCTTGTTGTGCCAATATATGCTACATCGATTTCACAGTCCTCCATTCCGTCATAACCTGCGCAATCCTTCAATGCCATTACATTTTCAAGTAACATTTAGTGTAATTATACATGGACACTATCTAAAGCCCATATACGCAAAATCACCACCTGCGAGATGAGGTGCCTGAGAAAAGCAGCCAACATAACCATCCGAGATCGAGTGAATAATAAAACTATAAGGCAAATTGTGGAAACGACACCTTGCACTTGATTCATCGAGAAACAGCAGATTAAGTGGTTTGGTCATCTTGTTAGAATGCCGCAAGATCAAATACCATCACAAGCACTACCTTCCAGAAAATCAGCTACAAGAGCAAGAGGAGGACCGATGAAAAATGGATCGACAACATTAAAGACACTCTACGCCTTCACGGCATGACAATAGTCAGTGGCAGCCAACGTGCACTGAATTGCAAATTTTTCCTCCCCACGCCGCTTAACGGTAAAAGTGGTTTATGATGATGATGATGATACATCGTATTATATTTCTTTTATTTTGTTATTATTTGAAATATGTATAAATCAAATGTTCAAACCGGAAAAACAATTAGAAATGACAAGACGCCAATGCGCATGCGCATTTTGCTGACCGGCCATGTTGTCAACACAATAATGACAACTCTCGGGTACGAACAAATTACACAACCCTTACTGTGGACAGGATGGCTGTTGTTAGTCAACAATAACCTGTTCATATTTCTTCGATGTTTCTGAAACACGAATGGCTTATATGAGTTCTAGTTCTTCGCGAGAGAACAAAAGTGGATTTTGGAAGAAGAACGCCGGCGGTGCACCAGGCAGGTAGGTTGACAAGTCGCTGGCTGTGGCTCTAATGGTGATGAGTGATGACGTTTCCGTAGATCATCCGATAGAATAAGAATGTCCCCTGAATTAATAGGTCTCGGAAAGAGTGCACAATGAGAAGTTCTCGTACTCAGCTGTGGTCAAGATATCTTCTTCTTTGAGGTCATCCTAGAAAATAAAAATTAAAAATGTTGCCAACTGAACTGAGGGCCTGGTGATCATCGACGTTTGTCGTCGTTTCCATGACATGAAGTCGAAGTGCATCTCATCTCTACATGAGAGACAAATAACAAATGTTCTGCATACAAATAAACCAGATCTTATATACACGCAACACTCAGGTTGAAAATTGTAATCAGAAATCATGTAGTCAGTCATAATCCAGCTCACTATCCTTTTTTAAGTCCCTGAAGTAGTCTGTTAGTATTAACTACAATTTGTGTAAACCCCCGTGTGGGTTCCGGGGCCCTATCATGGGGAAAACAAGAATAGACCCACTACCTCCCCAAAAGCATGTCGTAAGAGTCGACTAATTGGGAGCTTCCTTTGAAGTTGGAGTGCATCTGCCTGAGAGGCAATGAACCAACAGTCTGCATTCAAGTAAATCAGATCTGTAAAACTGATGCACACGCAACACTCAGGTTCTGGAGCAGGACTGCAGTCCAGAAGTAGACGAACAACCAGAACTTTCCGCCAGAGTGTACAGCTGGTGAACGCGAAGAAGAAGAATTTGTGTAAACTACAAACTATAAGGCAGCACGGAAATGCACAATAGACCACATCTTAATTTTGATATGTAAGTTGTAACCCAACCCACCCCATCATGTCCTAAAAGGCACCTGATGCTAACACACATCTGGTTATTCCATTCTGTAGAAAATTATAACTGAAAATCCAGCCAACGGGTCAGGTTTACAGAAAATTAACGCAAAATTAAAAGATGTTGTAAAGAAGATGTATGTAACAGTAAATCAGTCATCATTATCATAAAGTGATGTGAAGCAAGACCTTTACAGAACGTCACCTGGGTTTATTCATTATTTACAGCATACCTTTAATTCAAACCATCAAATTTTGAAAAGACACCCATCCTCAAGAGCAGAGTGGGCACAGCAAGTTATGGGGAACCATGAAACGACCTGCAGCTAACATGTGAGTTCACAGAGGTAACCCACCTGATGGTCTGATCTGAGCATATGAAACCGAACACAAAGAAGAAGAAGAAACCATCAAATTTCCCCTCGATATATTGATATGAGAAGGTGAAATCTCAAACCAGAATCAATCAAGTGTCTGTTTCACTATGAAACTTGGCTGTATTGGCTCTCTGACACATGATCTCTTCTCTTGGTTTTACTCTTTCTCAGACAGCTGTTCATCCTTCTTCTTTGTTCACCAGCTGTAAGCTCTGGTGAAAAGTCCTGCTTGTTTGTCCATGTGCAAATTTGTCATTGTGTCATGGCCTGAGTTTTCTGTGTTTGTCTGTTTTACTGACTTTATTTGTCTGTAGTTGGCTGTTCCTTGCCACTCTAGCAGATACACTCCAGCTTCGGAGAAAGCCTCCAGTTAGTTGACTCTTACAACATGCTTTTTCTGGAAGTAGTGGGTATATTCGTGATTTCCCCCACATTGGGGCCCTAGAACCCACACAGAGAGCTGTTCATCCGTCTCTTGATGTTTTCCACCCACCTGTATCATTGCCTACTTGTTCTCCTCGTCTCAAGCTTTTTATTTCAGTATGGTTTTTAAAAGATGTTTGCAGCCCATGAATCTTCCCTTTCATTGCCTTTCACTCTTGCTAGGCCCAGACAAAATTTCTTTATGTGTCCCAGTAACACGTGAGTGTTAAAATAATCCACTCGAGTCACATGACTTGTTAGTCAGTTAGATGTTCCAGTTTCATGGCAAACAGGTTACCCCATAATTGCTCTGGTAATGTAAAATGACCATTTTCCATGCATTCAGGCTTATTGGGCTAGACCTATATTTTTTTAGACCAATCGGCACTCGGTTGGTGATGTAGTCAACATCTTGCCGGCCACCTTTACTTTCCAGGACTCCGCTTGTGTCAACCTGGGAGACAAGGTAACTTTTTTTTGGGGAAAAAAAATAATTAAACCAGCTCCATTAGGACCCAAACTCATTACCTTCTGATCGGCAGGCGAGCATCTAGCTGCTACACCATGGCGGATACCACTCTCTTAACGTCAGTCAGTCAGTAGCATGTCCTTTGCAGAACCTCGCTCTCATAACAACCCTTGAAAAACAAGCAAGATGGCCCACGTCCGATGCACCTATCTGGAGATCATCCGCCACATCCTACACCCATCTTCTCTTTGGCCTTCCTCTCTTCCCAGGTATTTACCCCTCTTAATGTGTCAGTGAAAAAAAAAATCACAGAATTCCCTGCACTCTCCTGCTTGAAATAGATCAGTCCTGACAAAATCCAAGAGTCTCACTTATGAAGTCATATGTTTTATTTTAATGATCTGACTCAAATAAAAGTCAATTAATATGTTGACTTATTGTTGTCTTTCTCCTGATCCTGCAACAGAAGTAAACCAGTGTATGGAGCTCAGCACCCACCCCCTGTGACAAATGTAACCACGTAAGTTGACCTTTTTGTGTCACCACCTCCATCTTTTAGATCGTTGTGGGTATCACATATTATTTAAGAGGCTAACTGGGCCAAAACATAATCGAATAAGTCTGATGTGTCTGTTGGAATGCTCAAATATCACAGTTCTGAATAAAAACAATTTTATCAATAAAAAAAAAAAGATGTATATAAATGACGAGCAAGTATGCCTCGTTTTAGTGGAAGTGGAATAGCCACACAGCCATATCAAGCACATCATAAAAAGAGACTAATTAGTAATTAGGGATTTTTTCTTTAGAGCTGGCAGGGGCTTGCCTGAGAAGTGAGGAACCAGCAGTCTGCAAATAAGTAAGCCAGATCTGTAAAACAGATATGCATACAAAACTCAAAGTCGGGAACAAGATGAAAATGCAGAAATGGACGAACAACCAGAATTTTCCACTTTAGTTTATAATCAATAAAAACAAGGGCTCATGTGATTATGCCGCATGGCATAGACATATGCCCTTTAATTAAAAAAAAAAATTTTTGATTGCTGTAATTAGATGTAGAGGCCATATTCTTGATATTTTTCAAATGATAATTGATATATTTGTTTTATTATCATGCAAGAGTCTCTTTGTTTATGCTTACATTGTCTTAACATGAGCCAAACTACATTAATTCCTTACAAAATCTTCCCTGCAGACCAGGTTGGCCAACTCAGAAAGATGACAGAGGAAAGGGCAATAAAAGAGATTCCTTCCGCGACTTTGAAAATGAAACATCTGATGCGTGGGACGACGGTGATGATGATCTCATCCAGATGGCCAGCCTGAGAATCTCTCTTAGAGATGTGCAGACGTCTGCTAAAGCTGTGCTGGACAATCACAGCAAGAAGTCTCAGTCTTTCAAGGACGTCAAATTAAATTCTTCCTCAAATAAAAGCAGTAAGTTGTAACAGACTGACTGACTGATTTTCTACCCCACCAGGACATCAGACAAGCGATAAACACCCGATAACACAATGTGCCACCATGTGGGTGAGGATCAATGTGGAGAGGTCCCAGAAACCGCTTTCAGCCTTTAAGCCATATTTATGGCCAGGCTATATTGCGGCTCCTGGTAAAAGCCAGAGTAGGGCTTCAAATAACGCAAAATTTCATCCTAAGAAGGATGAGAAAATATACCAACTAGTTGTAACATTGTCATGCTTCACTTTATCAAAAATGTTGGTGTAATCTGTAAAGCACAAGACTGTTTGTGCAGAATTACTATTTTTCAAAATTAATTTACACGACATAAATGTTACATGGCTTTTTACCTTCACTAATTTCTGTTATTTTTGGCACATAAATCATTATCCACAAGTGATCTTCAGTGACACCAGTCTTGCTGCTTTTCTGACCATGGTATTCTGTGACATTTTACATTCCTTCATTTCCCTTTCTAGTGTCCTATCAAGTTTTCTAGGGTGGCCCATGTCTATCGTTTCCAAAGTGTCACGAGAAATTCTACAGACATATCGAAGCCATCTCTGTATTCTTTCATTGGTAAAATTCAGCAGTGATGAACATTTTGTATTCCTCCCCAGTTCTTCATTGGTGATCTTGTTTGGCAAATATATTACCTGGATCTCAAGCCAGAGTCTGAAGATTCTCAGCCCAGTGCTCGAACTCCGTAGCACAAGCGAGGATTCTGAAATACTCTCTGAGTAGATTTTAACTCAAAATTTTGCCTGGGCAGTGTCATTAGGCTACTCTTTTTTATTTTCAGGGTATGATTACCCGGTGAACGTGTGCCCCCCAAAAAGGCTTCTCGCCTTACTACCCAGCCGGCGTATGAACCCTGGACCTCCAGCACTCGAGGCGGAAGCCATACCTTGGGACCACTCAGACCCCCCACCCCAACCTAGTTAATTGTTAAATGAATGTGTCTGAATCAGTATGCATGTTTTTTCTTCTCTAGAAACAGCTAAAATGCGAGGGGTAAAAGTAAGGATAAGTGTAATCCTATCTGAGGTAGTTTTAATGCTGAATCTAATAAACAGTTTTGGCATTGTAGGTTTAGTTTTAGTTTATGCTCATCACTGCTTTCAGTTGCCCTCAACTTATTTTGTTTTCTTATGACAGGATTAAAGATTTTGGGAATGCAGAATCAGTTAACCATTTGAGTCCCAAGTAGATCTTAATTCATGGCTGTCTATCCTAAAGTTAGTGTGCCATAAAGCAGCAGTTAAGATTTATGGAACTGAAAAATACAGTTTTGCATTGGAGTGAGTTATAGTAACAAGTGAGATAGAATGCTTTATCATAACAAAAGAATGGGATTGAAAGAAATGTGTATTGCAGTGTTTCCCAAACTTGTCTTAGTTGCAGCGCTTTTCTTTTTCAGTTACAATTTTTCCACGGGGCCCTAACCTAAGTAAAAGTATGGCTATTAGTATGTAAGAGATCAAAACAAATTAAACTCGTGTATCTTCGCATATTTTGCGGCGTCCCTGTGAAGAGGTTGTGGCTTCCCTGGTGTATTGTGTAAAGAATAACCAATGTGTGTATTGAGTTCTTTGGCATTGAAAGAGTTCAGATAGATGCAGTTGCACCCTTTTTATGGCTGTGCAATCAATCAGTCAGGTGATGTCTGCGCAGTGAATGTTGGCTTCAGTGAATCTCCAACACTCTCTCTTGCCCTGGTTGTATACTCTCACGGTTGTTCATCCATGTCTTGATTTAGTCCTCCCACTTGTGTCACTGCCTACCTCTTGCTCACTTGCTTTTTACTTTTCCTTCTGTTATGGATTTTATACGAGTATTTTGTCTCTTAAACGCCTGAGAAAAATGTTGGATATAAAATGGGATGAATTCAGGAGCGCTGGAGAAATATCCAGGCAACCACTGGTAACAACAGTTTAAGACAAAGAAGATGGCCCTATGTTGGACACGTCCTGAAAAGAAACAAGCAGAGAATCACCAAGTACAAAACTAAATGGGAAATAAAGGGATTGAGGAGGCAAGGATATTTTAAAAAAACAACACACCTAGAAGGAATGTTGATGAGAGAGACTCTAAAGGTGTTGGATGAATTCTTCCATGGTATTAAATGGCTTGCACAGGATAGAAAGTAAAGTATAGGGCATATAGGACTAGACCTTTATTTTATATTTTATAGACCAGTTGGCACAAGAGGGGTGATGTGGTCAGCATCGTGCCAACCACCTTTACTTCCCAGGACTGCACCCGGTACTCACTCAAGGCTGGGTCGACCGGGGAGCCAAGGTCAATTTTTGAAAAAAAAAAGTCTCGAGCTTCTAGCCGCTCCGCCACGGCGACTGCACAGGATAGAAAGAAACAAAGAAATCGACTGCGAGCCCTACGTGACAAATAATGGCACAACAGGATCAGTGACTGTGTCTCTTAGCTGAAACATTTCTCTTATCACTGAAAATTGTCTTTCTTCACATTGCTCATTATATTGTTTTATTTGACCAGGTTCAAGTCAACCATTTTCACCCCATCCACATCACCATTCTGGCGGACCGGGTCTTGCTTTGAGGTTCGGCAGCGGGGGCAATCAACCGCTGAAACTGACCTCAATACGCTACGTCTCCATGACCCCACCAGAAACTGATGCAGCACGGATAGATAAATTCAAAGCAATCTTTGCTGAGCCTTCATTAGATCTGAGTAAGTAATTTTATGCAGACGTTGAAAAATAAAGTTATGATTTTAAATTTCTATGCATTATTGCTATATAAATGTAAATTATGTATGTAATTATACGCTCGAAAAATATACATTGGTGTTGATGTCTGTATATATCTATGTACATTTTAAATGTAATTTGTGAGATGCCTTCTGTATGGTAAGTACAAATGGAGCATGAATAATCTGGATTTTACACATATACAGTATATGAGTGTATCTTTAATTTTTAATTAAATTTTAATTCCGCATACTTTCCTATAAAAAATGTGAGAACAGTGAAAACTCATTGTGTTCACAGTTTGTAGAGCAGGGCTGTTCAACAGAGTTTACTCAGGGACCACAATTTCAAATCGTCATCCCCTTGTGGGATGCAATTTTTAGTTATTTTGAACCCCCACCCAGGCTTTTGCTGGGGGAACTGTAATATGGCCTAACGGCTGAATGGGGTTTCAGGGACCTCCTTTGCATGGTGGCACTTTGTGTCACCGGGTGTTTATAGCTTGTGTGGGGTACAACTTACATACATGCAATTTTGGAAATGGCAATCGTCACGGGCCAGAGGGCTGTGCCCCGGCATAGACATATCATTAATACAACGGGCAATGACCTGGGGGCTAAGTGTGGCCCTCTGGTGGCCAGTTTAATAGTCCTGTTGTAGAGGGTTACATCCCCTGTGTACATTCATCCTCTTGCCGTATTTACCTGTAACATTTTTGCAAGATAAATTAAATATACTTGATGCTAGATCACAACGGCTAGGTTTGAAAATTCATATAGGAAAGACAAAGATAATGAGAATAAATCAGGCAAATAATAATGTGGTTTCTCTTAATGGCACCCCACTTCAGGAGTCATACACCTATTAGGGCAGTAATAGATAAAGATGGGGGAACTGATAGAGATATTAAAATAATAATACAAAAGGCAAGAGGAGCTTTCATAGCACTAGGGAATTTGTGGAGGTCAAAAATCAGTACTTTGTATAGGGCGGAAACATGGAGAACAACTAAGGCAATAACTAATAAACTACAGACATTTATTAACTGGTGCATGCGCATAATAGAGGGAATTAAGTGGTATGATAGAATCACTATTGTAGAGCTTTGGGAGAGAACTAAGCAAGTTCCAGATGGACCAAAAGGTGAAGAAAATTTGCTGGCGTTGGACAGGACACACATTGAGAAAACCGTGGAACAATATAACTACAGTGTCTTTGCATTGGAACCCACAGAGGCATAGAAATAAAGGAAGGCCAAAAAACACACGGAGAAGAGAGCTGGAGAATAAAGTTAGAAAGATGGAGGAAAGGGGGGGGGGCATGGGGAGAGCTGCATTCGATAGCAAAAGATAGAATGACTTGCCGTGAGTTGGTTGAGGGCCTATGCTCCATTGGCGGCTAGAAAGGCAGAAGAAGAAAGGTGGCCGGCATGACGGGATGTTGACCACATCACCTACTGAGTGCCAGTTCGTCAGTATAGGTCTAACGCTCTTTGCCCAATATGCCTGAAGGCATGGAAAAGGGTCCTTTACTTTACTTTACTTTATTATGTGTGAAACACTTTACTTTACTTTATTATGTGTGAAACACTTTACTTTACTTTATTATGTGTGAAACACTTTAATTTACTTTATTATGTGTGAAACACTTTACTTTACTTTATTATGTGTGAAACACTTTACTTTACTTTATTATGTGTGAAACACTTTACTTTACTTTATTATGTGTGAAACACTTTATTTTATTATGTGAAACACTTTACTTTACTTTACTTTACTTTATGTGTGTGAAACACTTTACTTTACTTTATTATGTGTGAACACTTTACTTTACTTTATTATGTGTGAACACTTTACTTTACTTTATTATGTGTGAAACACTTTACTTTACTTTATTATGTGTGAAACACTTTACTTTACTTTATTATGTGTGAACACTTTACTTTACTTTATTATGTGTGAAACACTTTACTTTACTTTATTATGTGTGAAACACTTTACTTTACTTTATTATGTGTGAAACACTTTACTTTACTTTATTATGTGTGAAACACTTTACTTTATTTTATTATGTGAAACACTTTACTTTACTTTATTATGTGTGAAACACTTTACTTTACTTTATTATGTGTGAAACACTTTACTTTACTTTATTATGTGTGAAACACTTTACTTTACTTTATTACGTGTGAAACACTTTACTTTACTTTATTACGTGTGAAACACTTTACTTTACTTTATTACGTGTGAAACACTTTACTTTACTTTATTACGTGTGAAACACTTTGCTTTACTTTATTACGTGTGAAACACTTTACTTTACTTTATTAAGTGTGAAACACTTTACTTTACTTTATTACGTGTGAAACACTTTACTTTACTTTATTATGTGTGAAACACTTTACTTTACTTTATTATGTGTGAAACCCTTTACTTTACTTTATTACGTGTGAAACACTTTACTTTACTTTATTATGTGTGAAACACTTTACTTTACTTTATTACGTGTGAAACACTTTACTTTACTTTGTTACGTGTGAAACACTTTACTTTACTTTATTATGTGTGAAACACTTTACTTTACTTTATTATGTGTGAAACACTTTACTTTACTTTATTACGTGTGAAACACTTTACTTTACTTTATTATGTGTGAACACTTTACTTTACTTTATTTTGTGTGAACAGAAGATAACATTGAATGTAAATAATAATCATGCTGAGCTTCACAAAATTGACCAGGAAAGAAGGAAGTGAATGCAGAAAGAGATAGCTGTCAGTAAAATGTAATACAGCCGAACAAGATAGCTGTATCAGTAAAATGTAATATCTGACCAGCATAAATGATGCTATAATTATCTATACATTAGGTGTTGTTGTACTGAATAGAAGTTAAAGTTAGACGCAATTGTCACACCGTCGTTTATAAACCTGTATCCTGTGATTGTCATTGTCCTCTTGTGCCATTATATGTTACTATTCCTCTGTCATTAATGAATTTCAGTCCAGCACCTTTGGCATCTCTAATCAGCGTTCGCATTTTAGGGTTTCGTTTGGACATGCTCGCTTCCTAATCTCTTTATTACCCATTTTAGTGCCTTTTGTTGATTCTCTACCCCTTTCTTCTCAGGATGTCTTCAGGATAGTACCATCTTCATTTGTTCTTCTTCATGTTCACCAGCTGTAAACTCTGGCAGAAAGTTCTGGTTGTTCATCCACTTTTGTACTGCAGTCCTGTTCCAGAACCTGAGTGTTGTGTGTGCATCCGTTTTCCAGATCTGACTCATTTGTATGCAGACTGCTGGTTCCTGCCTCTCAGGCAGATGCACTCTGACTTCGAAGGAAGCTCCCAGTGAGTCGACTCTTACGACATGCTTTTGGGTAGGCATTGGTTCTGTTCTTGTTTTCCCTATAATAGGGCCCCGGAACCCACACAGGGAATCTTAATTTGTTTTAAAATTGTTGTTACCAGTGTTTGCCCAGACAGTTCCGTTACTTCTTCGCCTCATGGGAACCACACAAATGCTAACCCTATAATTTATTTTTTATTGATTAATCAGTGATTGATGGATCCTGTGCTTACCTCCGTATGTTGAAAGAAATTAACCGAGCCATACAAAAACAGTTAAGACAGCAGATTTGACTTTCATATTAACTGTTTAATTTGCCATGTTTTGTGGTTTATTACCATTCTATTTTCAGCTGAACTTCGCAAACTTTGTTGGTCAGGCATTCCTAAAGCTGTCCGACCTACAGCTTGGAAAATATTATCAGTAAGTTGATTTTACAGCTTCTGTTTACTTTGATTTGTTTATTTTACTTTGTTTTATGAGTTTTTGTAATTGTTTTCAACTTCAGAATACCATATACTAAGATAATCAAGTTATTTATTATTAGCAGTATCATATGTTCATATAATACTGGTTGTACAGTGAGTGTCTTTTTGTGTGTGTTGCAAATGTAGTTCAGAAAAGTGGTTTTATATAGTGATTGCAAAAACTTTTCCTATCTGATCATTAACTTTTCTTTAGCTGGGTTCCGGAATTGTCAACATACCTGTAGAAAACGTAAATCAAGAGAATCCTATATTACTGTAAATCACTACATTAGTCACAAGAGTAATTTTGTTAACCCTGTCACCCTAGTGACCAAGAAAAAAATAGTGCACTGACCTGTAACTAGGGAATCACCCCCCCCCCCCCCACCCGAATAAAAAAATCAGGTGCTTTATTAATATCCTACCACAAACAGGGGAAATCCACAGGTCACGGGACAGTCTAATATTTCAGGAGGTGGTAGGTAGGCGGCATGCTTTTGTGGGACCTAGGCTGCACTCTCTCGTGGAACAAAGGTGGGTTGGGGTTAGGACCAGTTCTAGATGTTTTAGGGTCGTTAAAAGCATCAGAAAGCCGGGAAACCCAGTCTTACCACTCTCTAAAATGTTGGACTGTCCTGTGACGTCATCTGGGGTAGGATATTTATAAAGAACCAAAAATCCTATTTAGAAGAAAAAGCTCTTTTACACAAACACACCCTCACACATACAAATCATAATAATTTATCAACTGAAACAGTGTTAAATTTAAGAACATTTGGAGTCAGTAAATATGAAGGCAGCAGAGAATTACTGGGTCACGTCTTATGCAAGCGCAAAAATAGATATTTACGATGACTTTTTAAAAAAAATAACCGAATGACCTGATGCAAGTTAACACTTCGGAAAATTACATTGTCCTAATTTCTATTAAATAAAGTTTTTTTTTTCAAGAAAACTCCTCCAAAGGCTTTATTTTAGTAACTGTAGTAATTTTTGGCCCTTGTTATGAAGCGAATGAACATATACGAAGCTTGCCCTCCATGTTATGAAGCAAATGTTCTAATGTATCGCCTACTTGCTGAGTGTCTAGAGATGTTGGGATCTCAACACCTTGTCTCCATTAAACACAATCAACTGGAACATTCTGAAATATATACCAAATTCTAACAAACAATATAAGCTTTCTCCAGAATAAAATAATACACATTATTACAACTAAAAATCACACACATCTGAACTCTATCACAGACTGAGAGACACTAACCCACAGATTCCTTCCAGCCCAGTGTCCGGCCACGCATGAGTCTTGCTAGATCCGTGCAAACCACTGTTAGCCATGAAACTCAAGAAACACCTCTTTCCCAACTTTGTGCACAGCGTTGACCTTTTTTGCACTCATGTCTCATCTCAAGCAACATGGACCGTTTTCACGTGTTCCTTTTACCACCATCATCCAGCGCGTTTACGACCAGCGTAGGCGATCACGCCTCTGACGTCTGATACAATTGAACAGCAAAGTGAATTAAGCACACTACAGCCCTTCTCAACCTAGAGATGGCCAGCCGGTACTGCGGAGGTTGCAGTTTAACAGTTGATTCACAACAATTTATGCCTAGATGATCTGATTATCTATAAAGATTGTTCGGTGTTAACTGGAAAGAGAAGTGCTTGGGGGTTTGTAGCGAAAGCCAATGGAAAATCTGTAGTGCAAGACAGCCTAGCATACGACACCACAACATCTAGCATGAGAATAGAGGTGGAGGCGGTAACTGTAGCTCTCCCATGGCTAGAGAACAAGATGTTGTAACTGTAACAGACTCTGAAAGCATACTGAGAAAGGTGAAGACATGGATGCTTTGAGCAGAGTGGCAAGCTTTACCGAGAAGGTCATGTGTAGTAAGCATTTTTTTTTATCTTTTCTTCGGGATGCTGGCGTGGTGGGTAATGAACAGGCAGACAGATTGGCTGGATCTGCACCAATCAGTGGTGAATTGATACATCACAAGGCAGATGTGGTCAAGGCCCTTTGGGAACAAGCAGCGGAATCAGTAGAGAAAGAAGATTATTATGGCCTGGAGAGAATGGGGCACCTGGGTGTAACCAGAGGGTCTGGCTAACTGCACTCAGAGGAAAGGCAAGGCAGACATAAAATCAGATTGTGACTGAAGTTCCATCAGTATTGGAACTTTGCGCTGACTGATGAAGATAAGGATGGAGCACACATGGAAATGCTCAGAGTGCTGTGATGTCAATTGTTGACTCAGCTCAACTCAATTCTTAACCAAGTGGTCTAGAATCGGCTAGTCTGTTTGCCTTCGCTTTTCCCCACACACCTGCATGTTTTGGAGAAATTATCCAAAGGACCCTTATGCCTTGCTCCACCTTTCTTAACATGCTCTGTGAGTCAGATACAATGACGACATCATGTGTGTACAGCTGATTCTGAAGATTATTTATGAACATTTAGTAAGAAGATTCACAGGATTGTAATCAAAGACTTGAGAGAAAAAAAGAGATTTATATGAGATTTTCAGTGCAGTGACAAGGTAGCTTAACATGTCAGAAACTGCTCCCTTGGAGAACAAAAGAAGTTGAAGGAACCAGCCCCAGCTTTGGATACCACTGTTGAAAACAGTGCAAGGTGGTTTGCAGTCAAATTGCCCTCAGCTGGGATCGAACTATGTCTCTCGGAATTACATACCATGTTTGCAACGCCTAAGCCACAGACGCCAAATGTAATATCTAAAGACATGGCATTTTGAAGAATAAAAATAAATTATGTCCGTGTAAAAGGTTATTATGTTTTAAAACAGTTTGTCTCAGCACTTTTGGGTCACATTTTGTATGTTACCAAAGAGTACTTGCCATACATATTACAGTTGATAAATGACAGATTTGAACTGAGGAGCAAAAGAATATTTGCAATTAGGGGGGGGGGGGGGATTGCGTTCAAATTTAAGAGTAAATTTATGTTAAAATTTAGGAATAGAATCATGTTTAAATAATGCATATAAGAATTGAGGAGTAAAATACATTTGAAATTAAAGAGTAAAATACATTAGTATTAAAGAGTGAAATACATGAGTATTAAAGAGTAAAATATGTTGGAATTAAAGAGTGAAATACATGAGTATTAAAGAGTAAAATATGTTGGAATTAAAGAGTAAAATATGTTGGAATTAAAGAGTAAAATACGCTAGAATTAAAGAGTAAAATACATTGGAATTAAAGAGTAAAATACATTAGAATTTAAGAGTGAAATATGTTAGAATTAAAGAGTAAAATGCATTGGAATTAAAGAGTAAAAATACATTGGAATTAAAGAGTGAAATACATTAGAATTTAAGAGTGAAATACATGAGAATTAAAGAGTAAAATATGTTAGAATTAAAGAGAAAAAAAAAAAAAAAAAAGAAAAAAAGAAAAAAAAAAAAAAAAAAAAAAAAAAAAAATGCATTGGAATTAAAGAGTAAAAATACATTGGAATTAAAGAGTAAAATACATTAGAATTAAAGAGTAAAATACATTGGAATTAAAAATTAAAATACTTTAAAAATGAAAAGTAAAATGCGTTAGAATTCATGCATGTTTGTGTATTTTTACCACAGGGTTACCTTCCCACAGCAGCAGACAGAAGACAGGAGACTCTAGAAAGAAAGCGCAAGGAATATTTCGGCTACATTGAACAGTATTATGAGACTAGATACCAAGATTTGCATGAGGAGACATTCAGACAGGTAGGGCTTTAACAATAGCATCAGTGAGGTCCTTTAGGATATTGACATGGTCTAATAATAGGTTTATAAATTGTATTGACTTCTTCCTTCCTCTTCTTCTATTTCCTCCTCCTTCTTCTTCTTTCTCTTCATCTTTCTTTTCTTCTTCTCCTACTCCTCCTATTTGTCTTCCTCCTACTTCTCTTCTTTCTCCTCCTCCTTCTCTTCTTTCTCCTCCTCCTTTTCTTCTTCCTCTTCTTCTTTTTCCTCCTCCTCATCTTCTTGCCTTCCCTCCTCCTCTTCCTCCTCTTTGTTCTCTGTTATGGGATTGAGGATGAAAGAGCCATTGCCTCTCTAAAAAGCATGTTGTAAGAGTCGTCTAATTAGGGATTTCCATTAAAGTCAGAGTTGAGTGCATCTCTCTGAGACCAGGAACCAGCAGTCTGCAAACATATTAGCTAGATCTGTTAAAATATGTGTACGCAAAACTCAGTTCTGGAACAAGACTAAATTCCTCAACTGGACAAACAGCCATACATTTTTGCTAGAGTTTAAATCCTAGTGAACGCAAAGAAGAAGAATGTACAACAACTTAAAAAAAAAAAAATCATTCAAAGTACATAAGACAGAAGTGTGTGAAAGATATGACCAACTAACAACATAATACGACATTGACTGTAACCAGATGTTGGTGTTATACTGCTGTTATACTGCCATCTTTTTGTTTGATTTTGATTTATTTATTAGCCAGCTCTTCTATTCACAGCAAGGAACTCAGTTTTAGGGTTTCACATAAGTTATGTTTATATGATATGTTGTACATGACTGCAAACGTTTCAGTGTGAGCCTTCAATTAGGAAGAACAGCTGGAGTTATGCTTGTGATGGTGATATTTTTAGCTGTCAAAGGGCAAATAGATCATCGCAATCTGGGGGGAGGGGGGAATGTTGAGTGTGTTGAATGCTGACTACCTGAATGTTGAGTGTGTTGAATGCTGACTACGTGAATGTTGAGTGTGTTGAATGCTGACTACCTGAATGTTGAGTGTGTTGAATGCTGACTTCCTGAATGTTGAGTGTGTTGAATGCTGACTTCCTGAATGTTGAGTGTGTTGAATGCTGACTTCCTGAATGTTGAGTGTGTTGAATGCTGACTTCCTGAATGTTGAGTGTGTTGAATGCTGACTACCTGAATGTTGAGTGTGTTGAATGCTTACTTCCTGAGTTCTGGAAGCTCCAGCTGTGGTCACAGTCAGGTCGCTCCATGCTTCTTCCTCTTGTGATCGCTCTCTGAGGTACACCGACAGACAAGTTCTTATGATAAAATTCACTGTTGTTAGCTCCATGTAACTTTGAATATGGTGTTAACTCATTGGGCCAGTATTTCCACCTGAATTGGCTGTACAAGTGGGCCAGTATTTCCTTCTGAATTGGCTGTACAAGTGGGCCAGTATTTCCTTCTGAATTGGCTGTTCAAGTGGGCCAGTATTTCCTTCTGAATTGGCTGTACAAGTGGGCCAGTATTTCCTTCTGAATTGGATGTACGAATGGGCCAGTATTTCCTTCTGAATTGGATGTACGAATGGGCCAGTATTTCCTTCTGAATTGGATGTACGAATGGGCCAGTATTTCCTTCTGAATTGGATGTACGAATGGGCCAGTATTTCCTTCTGAATTGGCTGTACAAGTGGGCCAGTATTTTTTTCTGAATTGGCTGTACAAGGGACATTCTTGCAGGACATGTTCTGCAGATTGTGCAGGCACATGGTCACAGTGGGGAACTACTTAGATGAAGCCTGTGCATATGCTTGCTAAGTTTGTTATTCCCTGTCCTGAGGTGTATGTAGAATGATGGATGATCAGTCTGTACCGGTTAGGTAAGTGGTACTCTGAGTTCACCTGTGACACTTGGCTCCATGCTCTGTGAAATACTTGGCTCCATTCTTAACTGTGACACTTGGCTCCATGCTCTGTGTGGTACTTGGCTCCATGCTCTGTGTGATACTTGGCTCCATTCTTAACTGTGACACTTGGCTCCATGCTCTATGTGACACTTGGCTCCATGCTCTGTGTGATACTTGGCTCCATTCTCAACTGTGACACTTGGCTCCATTCTAAACTGTGACACTTGGCTCCATGTTCTGTGTGATACTTGGCTCCATTCTTAACTGTGGTACTTGGCTCCATGCTCTATGTGACACTTGGCTCCATGCTCTGTGTGACACTTGGCTCCATGCTCTGTGTGATACTTGGCTCCATGCTCTATGTGACACTTGGCTCCATGCTCTGTGTGATACTTGGCTTCATGCTCTATGTGACACTTGGCTCCATGCTTTGTGTGATACTTGGCTTCATGCTCTATGTGACACTTGGCTCCATGCTCTGTGTGATACTTGGCTCCATGCTCTATGTGACACTTGGCTCCATGCTCTGTGTGACACTTGGCTCCATGCTCTGTGTGATACTTTGCTCCATTCTCAACTGTGATACTTGGCTCCATGCTCAGTGTGATACATTGCTCCATTCTCAACTGTGATACTTGGCTCCATGCTCTGTGTGATACTTGGCTCCGTTCTCAACTGTGATACTTGGCTCCATGCTCTGTGTGATACTTGGCTCCATTCTCAGTTGTGATACTTGGCTCCATGCTCATTGTTGAGTTGAGTTGTGTTGATTCAAGAACCAACATCACAGCACTCAAAGCATTCCTATAAGCGCTCTGTCCCCATCTTTAGCAGCCAGCAAAGAGTTCCAATACTAATGGTGCCAGTAGCATTCTGATTAAAGTCAGTCTTGCGTTTCCTCTGAGCCTCGAGCATCTGCCAGAACCTCTTGTCATTCCCCACTGCATTAATCTCACCAGACTGTGTGATTCATCTGCTCATTGTGATACTTGGCTCCATGCTCAGTGTAATTCTTGGCTCCATACTCAATTGATACTTGGCTCCATACTCAGCTGATACATGGCTCCATTCTCAACTGATAGATGGCTCCATTCTCAACTGTAATACTTGGCTCCATGCTGTGTGTTATACTTGGCTACATTCTAAACTGTAATAATTGGCTCCATGCTGTGTGTAATACTTGGCTCCATTCTAAACTGTAATACTTGGCTCTATTCTAAACTGTAATACTTGGCTCCATTCTAAACTGTAATACTTGGCTCTATTCTAAACTGTAATACTTGGCTCCATTCTAAACTGTAATACTTGTCTCCATTCTAAACTGTAATACTTGGCTCCATGATGTGTGTAAAACATGGCTCCATTCTAAACTATAATACTTGGCTCCATGCTGTGTGTAATACTTGGCTCCAATATCAACTGATATTTGGCTTCATTCTAAACAATAATACTTGGCTCCATTCTAAACTGTAATACTTGGCTCCATTCTAAACTTTAATACTTGGCTCCATTCTAAACTGTAATACTTGGCTCCATTCTAAACTGTAATACTTGGCTCCATGCTAAACTGTAATACTTGGCTCCATGCTGTGTGTAATACTTGGCTCCATGCTGTGTGTAATACTTGACTCCAATCTCAACTGATACTTGACTCCATTCTAAACTGTAATACTTGGCTCCATTCTCAGCTGTGATACTTGGCTCCATGCTATGTTTGATACTTGGCTCCATGCTCAATTGTGAAACTTTGCTGCATGTTCACTGTGATACTTGGCTCCATGCTCACTGTGATACTTGACTTCACTGTTTCAGATACACATTGATATCCCCCGCATGAACCCGTTAATCCCCATCTTTCAGCAGCTCATAGTCCAAGAAGTGAGTAGATTCAGTCACTGCTGCCAGATTTTTTTAAAAATTAGGTTAACCTCACCAACCCATAAATGTCAGTTTTTTTTCTCTCCAAAGTGACTTTTGCACGACTATTTCCTTTGATGTTTCAGTTCTCTAACACTTTTATTGTAATGTTGTGTCTGTGTGTTGTCATAATATATTCTGTGAAAATATTGTAGAAATAGTTATTCTCACTTTTCAGTACTGATATCATTTTGGTTTTAAATACATAGTGATAGAATAAGATAACACAGACATTTTTTTTTTTTTAGATTCTGCCAGTAAATAATATATTTGAAAAAAAAAATTTGTAGAAAAAGTTATCCTCACTTTTCAGTTCTGATAGTTTTGCTTATTAAAAACATTTTGATAGAAAAAAATTAGCGTAACTATATTTGTGATAGTATTTTTTATTATATTGAGTTTGCTAGTGAAGTGATGGTTGTTTTCTAGACCTACACATACTAATTCTTGTTAGCAGTTGATAAATTAATTGAAGCAGAATGTTTTAATGAATTTCCTAACTAAATGTCATAACAAAAGTTGACTGATTTCACTTAAAAGTAGTATTACAACTCAGGAAATAAACTCAGCGAAACATAATATTAACATTTACCATAATTTTAAGCTTTCTAAGGCTGTTTAGCTTATTTCATTCAGAGAAACTTTCAACATATACTACATATAGATATATTTTTTATTTCATTAGCAAATTTTAGATTTGTTTGAAAAAGAATCACTGCAGATTGATAAATGTTGTTTTGACATTGTGCACGAATATTAACATCTCTTGTGCAGTGTGAGGTCGCATGTTGCTGATTCTGCCTACCTAAGTGAATGCTTTCTTGTGTTTTTTCAGTTGCTCTTCTTACTTGTTGACTTTTTCTCATTTCTTTATTTGCCAGGAAATTTGAAGCATGCTTTTGTTTTTCTAAATTCAGTTTCATGCAGCAGGTCATGCGCAGGAAATATCCTAACACAGCTCGCTTCAAAGACTTTTGCTCTTTCACCATTTCTACTACCGTGTGTGTGTATATAATGTCTTTGATTTTTCTTCTTCTGCTTCTTTCTTCTTCTTTGCGTTCACCAGCTGTAAACTCTGGTGGATAGTTCTGATTGTTCGTCCACTTCTGGACTGCAGTCCTGTTCGAGAACCTGAGTGCTGCGTGTGTATCCGTTTGACAGATCTGACACATTTATGTGCAGACTGTTGGTTCCTTGTCTCTCAGGCAGATGCGATCCGACTTCGAAGGAAGCTCCCAATTAGTCAACCCTTACGACATGCTTTTGGGTAGGCAGTGGGTTTATTATTGTTTTCCCTATAATAGAGCCCGGAACCCACACGTGGGTTGTTAATTCTGAGTTGAGTTTTAAGAACTGACATCACAGCACTCAGGATATCCCCATAAGAGCTCAGTCTCTAATTCTTTGGGTAAAATAGTGCCAGTAGCAGTTTAATTATATGTCCTTCCTGCCTTTCCTCTGTGTGTAGTGTAGATTGCTGACCAGATCCTCTGGGGACTCCCAGCTGTACCATTCTCTGCAGACCCCAATAATCTGTTTGTGCCTCCGCATTGTTCCCTTGCACCCCGGAGGGCATCGAACCCATCTAGCTTGTCATGCATACATTCACCACCCTTTGCTGCTGAACCAGCCAATCTGTCTGTCATGCATACATTCACCACCCTTTGCTGCTGCTGAACCAGCCAGTCTGTCTGTCATGCATACATTCACCACCCTTTGCTGCTGCTGAACCAGCCAATCTGTCTGTCATGCATACATTCACCACCCTTTGCTGCTGCAGAACCAGCCAGTCTGTCTGTCATGCATACATTCACCACCCTTTTGCACCAGCCAGTCTGTCTGTCATGCATACATTCACCAGCTGCTGAACCAGCCAATCTGTCTGTCATGCATACATTCACCACCCTTTGCTGCTGCAGAACCAGCCAGTCTGTCTGTCATGCATACATTCACCACCTTTGCTGCTGCAGAACCAGCCAGTCTGTCTGTCATGCATACATTCACCACCCTTGCTGCTGCAGAACCAGCCAGTCTGTCTGTCATGCATACATTCACCACCCTTTGCTGCAGAACCAGCCTATCTGTCTGTCATGCATACATTCACCACCCTTTGCTGCTGCAGAACCAGCCAATCTTGTCTTCATGCATACATTCACATACACCCTTTGCTGCAGAACCAGCCAGTCTGTCTGTCATGCATACATTCACCACCCTTTGCTGCTGCAGAACCAGCCAATCTGTCTGTCATGCATACATTCACCACCCTTTGCTGCTGCAGAACCAGCCAATCTGTCTGTCATGCATACATTCACCACCCTTTGCTGCAGAACCAGCCAGTCTGTCTGTCATGCATACATTCACCACCCTTTGCTGCAGAACCAGCCAGTCTGTCTGTCATGCATACATTCACCACCCTTTGCTGCTGCAGAACCAGCCAGTCTGTCTGTCATGCATACATTCACCACCCTTTGCTGCTGCAGAACCAGCCAATCTGTCTGTCATGCATACATTCACCACCCTTTGCTGCTGCAGAACCAGCCAGTCTGTCTGTCATGCATACATTCACCACCCTTTGCTGCTAATCTGTCTGTCATGCATACATTCACCACCCTTTGCTGCAGAACCAGCCAATCTGTCTGTCATGCATACATTCACCACCCTTTGCTGCAGAACCAGCCAGTCTGTCTGTCATGCATACATTCACCACCCTTTGCTGCTGCAGAACCAGCCAGTCTGTCTGTCATGCATACATTCACCACCCTTTGCTGCAGAACCAGCCAATCTGTCTGTCATGCATACATTCACCACCCTTTGCTGCTGCAGAACCAGCCAATCTGTCTGCCTGTTGAAAGCAGTTCAAAGTCCTTACTTGCCAACAGTTTGAGTTCAAACCCACATGACCTGGAGTATTTGAAATTGTAAAGGCCGTTCCTCTCTGACTTGTATATAACCTTCCAGCATTGGTCCAGCTCTCTCTCTCTCTCTCTCTCTCCCTCTCCCTCTCCCTCTCTCTCTCCCCCTCTCTCTCTCTCTGTGTGCATGTGTGTGTGTGCGCACGCACATGCTTGCTTGCTTGCTTGCTTGCTGTGTGAGGGTAAGTGTGCTTGTATGTGTATGTGTGTCTGTGATGTATTTTTAACAATGGGTCCCCAAAACCAACAGAGAGACATATCACAGCTTTTATTGTTAGGGTCCTAGTTTTCTACAGAAAGTATAGAAGAAATGCAAAGACTGCTTAACAATTTTCAAACCGCCTAGTTCATTTTCAAATCAAACTGGATGATTTTCAAACCACCCAGTTACTTTTCCTAACAAACTGAGATTTTTGTTACTGTCCCGATAATCTTTGTTAATCTATTATATTGATGTATGTTGTGTTTTCAGAGAGTTTCAATTACCATAACAGACCTGTCCATACATTATAGTCAATGTTTTATGTGTCAACACATTGTGTTAAGTCTGTTTGTATCATGTATTAATTCACACACATAATTTTAAGGAACAATGTTTAATTTTTTTTTTTTTTTATTTTATTTTAATTTTTTCTTATTTCCCCCCTCCCCATCCTGTTGCTTATACTTACACATCACCATTTGCTAAAATCTGCCCTAGAATATTGCTGCAGTAGCTTCAGTCTCTACTGCTTCCTCAATAACAGTCATTTTGCAGTTTCTCACTTGTGATTGGTTACTTCTTTTCACTGCACCCAGTACTAAAACTGCGGCATTGTTGGTACTGTGATTGGCTGGCAGCATGATTATGTCATTTACATTTTTATTTCACATTGTCAAAACAGGTTCTGATTAGTCCGGCAGCAGCCTATGAGAATGCTTCTTCATAAACTGGAAATCGGGCATAGTGAATCAGTAAATCAGTTTTCTTTAGTTGTGATAAAATCATATCCAAAGGACAGTAACGATGACACTCTGAAGAAGAAAGGAATGATTATAAACTATTCCCTATTAATAGATCTCTCATTACAGGATATCTGAAGAAAGCAGTAACGACATGACATTTTATCAATGAAAGGAATAATTCCTAACTACTCTCCTGAATTAATCCATCTTTACAGAACATGTGCAGGAAAGTAATTCCAGTTTTCTGTTTGGGAAAGTAATAATTCCATACTATTCCCCTTAATTAATCTGTCTTTACAGATTCTAAAAGATATACCTCGCATGACCACATTAGCCCATTTGTTTCAAGTAAAGCCAGTTCAGGAAGTAAGTAAACTCATGAATGCACCAGTAGTTTGTTTCCTAAGCTCAAAATATCACCCCATTAACTCTTGCTAGAGGAGATAACTCTACCCTTGCTCATCAGGAGACCAGAGTAGTTGTTGCATGAACTTGCATGTTTGTCATCGTAGAATGTTTATTACCCCCCTTCTTTTAAATGTAGCTGGTGTTTATTGTAACTGGTTTTCTTTCACCGGGTAAAGCTGTTTCTATATAGGAATTTAATATCTTTTTTTTTAAACGGGAAAAATTAGTTAATGGTAACATGTGACATATTTTAAATCAGTAATATCTGTGGAATTCTTTGAATAAGGTGATTTTTTGTTTTTTCAAGTGAAGAGAGAAAAATATGTATGGTAATTGAAAAGCTGCATATTTTAGGTTTAATTTGAAATAAAAGATTGCATTGATTTTTGATGATTAAGACAAAGAGAGACACCCTGGTTCTCCAGGTTGGGGGTTGAAGCATGGGGTAGACACCCCTACCTTCGTAAAACTTCATCTCGTCACGAAACAGATATCTAAGCCTCGATTTCAGATGGTAAAGACTTGGTGTCACCAACTGGAAAGAAAAGGCCAACCAGAGAGATGAATGGAGGCGGGCGATGTCTGCAGAAATGAACCTCAAGGGCTCGGAATGCTGAAGAAGAAGAAGTTTTACTGTCCTCCCCTTGGGTTTAAAGTAAGCTCAGGCAGTTTGGTAGTAGGCCACTTTGCAGTAATTTTAACAATGGTTTCAGCATCGTACCCTTAAAAAACGAAACATTGTGGCATACTACTGAATTAAAAATACAGTGAACCTACAAATGTGCAGTATATTGAAGAGAATATGCAACTAATTTAACTCTCAAATGAGATCAGAAGAGACAATGACATGATGCAATCAGATCATGATTGTCTCGCCAAGAGACTAAGACAATAATATAAACAAGTATCCAAAAAGTGGCCGGATAATCACTCCAGATTTTCTCCCCAAGACTCGCTTTATATTGTGGACAGACCTTGCCACCATATGTTCAAAGTGTTTGGCGTGGTAAACATGGAGATGTGTCCCTACAACGTGGCTCCATCTAATGCAGAGCATCTACTGACTCTTAACACTGTATGCGACTAACAGAGAAACCATCTAATGCAGAGCATCTACTGACTCTTAACACTGTATGCGACTAACAGAGAAACCATCTAATGCAGAGCATCTACTGACTCTTAACACTGTATGCGACTAACAGAGAAACCATCTAATGCAGAGCATCTACTGACTCTTAACACTGTATGCGACTAACAGAGAAACCATCTAATGCAGAGCATCTACTGACTCTTAACTCTGTATGCGACTAACAGAGAAACCATCTAATGCAGAGCATCTACTGACTCTTAACACTGTATGCGACTAACAGAGAAACCATCTAATGCAGAGCATCTACTGACTCTTAACACTGTATGCGACTAACAGAGAAACCATCTAATGCAGAGCATCTACTGACTCTTAACACTGTATGCGACTAACAGAGAAACCATCTAATGCAGAGCATCTACTGACTCTTAACTCTGTATGCGACTAACAGAGAAACCATCTAATGCAGAGCATCTACTGACTCTTAACACTGTATGCGACTAACAGAGAAACCATCTAATGCAGAGCATCTACTCACTCTTAACACTGTATGCGACTAACAGAGAAACCATCTAATGCAGAGCATCTACTGACTCTTAACACTGTATGCGACTAACAGAGAAACCATCTAATGCAGAGCATCTACTCACTCTTAACACTGTATGCGACTAACAGAGAAACCATCTAATGCAGAGCATCTACTGACTCTTAACACTGTATGCGACTAACAGAGAAACCATCTGGCCTGTTACAACCTCAGTGAAGACAAAGCTGTATGATATGGTTCTTGGGAAGATTTGGACTGCATGATAGCGTTCGTCAAGGCTGCCAGCCTCCTGGTATAAATTTTCTGACAGAAGAAGACAAAAAAAGAGGGTCAGTTATTTTCAGAAAGGCATAATTTAATATATTTTTTTTAAAGGAAGATGTCTTATCAACGCAAGATAAACACTTTCAGCCCTAGCATGTTTCACTCACAAATCTTCATTTATCATGAAACAGTATGACCAAATAATTATTGCAATGTGCCTTATAAAAAGAGAGAGGTAATTGCCACTGGGGTAGCCAGGTTTTGTTAGTATGCACTGACTAAGCACAAAAGTAAAATAACATGTGATACATTGTTGGGGTCCCACAGGGAAAAGTTATTTCCACATCACTTGTTTATTGGGGCTGAAAGAGTGAAGCCAGATTATTTTCTTCATCTGTTGGAAGTGGCTTAGCAGATTCTATATATTTATGTTAAAAAAATGGGTGCCTGCAGTTGATCTAATACTTACAAGTAACTTACTCACTTAGTCGCACCTTTATTACCTTGGGGTGTAGAGGTTTGCCAGAGATCGCCAGACGTCTCTATGAGCAGTTTTTTTTTCCTGGCTTTGTTCTATTCCAGTCCTCTGTCAGTTAGCTTACAAGTAACAACAACATGAACTCTGACTAGAAGGCACAGTCTTTCCCTTTCTTTTCGGTGAACTTTTTAGTCATAGTTTATTCTGTATTAAGTTACTTTTTTTTTCTTCTTTATCTTCTTCACTTCCTGTTGTAGCTCTTCAGGTCTCAATGTAGACATAAGGTTCTGCTTCTGGCTCTTCTGACTGCCTTGATCATGTTCTTATAAAGTTTCTCTGATGCTGTATTACCATCTTGTTCTTGGTCTACACCTTGCTCTGCATCCGTCTCCTCTTTTGGCATATGCGTGTATGTTGTGACGTCACAAAGCATTCTCTCTAACCAGGAAGACCATTTGATTTGTTTGCTGCCTTTGTATGTAATTTAGAACTAGTTCTGTGCCAACCCTTTCTGTATAACTTAATTCCTGATTTCATCTCTTCTGGTAATTCCTGCAGCCCTTCTTAGACATGTCAGTTCCAGAAGCTACTTCTGTATATGATTCTTCAACTTAGCATTGTGGGATCTTGCTGTATGATTTTGATAGTATGGCAACCATTAACATAAAACCATGGGCAGTTGGATTTGCTGTTATGTGTTTGATAGATTTTTTGCTTATACTGTATCAGTAGATAGTAGTCGCATAGCTTTACTAATATAATATGTATGAGCATTTTTATGTAGACTAGCTTTACCAATGTGAGTATTTTCATGTAGATTGTAATCCCCATAGATTTACTAATGTCAGCATTTGTATGTAGATTGTAGCTTTACTAATGTAAACATATTCATGTAGATTGTAGCTTTACTAATGTAAACATATTCATGTAGATTGTAGCTTTACTAATGTAAACATATTCATGTAGATTGCAGCTTTACTAATGTAAACATATTCATGTAGATTGTAGCTTTACTAATGTAAACATATTCATGTAGATTGCAGCTTTACTAATGTAAACATATTCATGTAGATTGTAGCTTTACTAATGTAAACATATTCATGTAGATTGCAGCTTTACTAATGTAAACATATTCATGTAGATTGCAGCTTTACTAATGTAAACATATTCATGTAGATTGTAGCTTTACTAATGTAAACATATTCATGTAGATTGTAGCTTTACTAATGTAAACATATTCATGTAGATTGCAGCTTTACTAATGTAAACATATTCATGTAGATTGTAGCTTTACTAATGTAAACATATTCATGTAGATTGTAGCTTTACTAATGTAAACATATTCATGTAGATTGCAGCTTTACTAATGTAAACATATTCATGTAGATTGCAGCTTTACTAATGTAAACATATTCATGTAGATTGTAGCTTTACTAATGTAAACATATTCATGTAGACTGTAGCTTTACTGATGTAAACATATTCATGTAGACTGTAGCTTTACTGATGTAAACATATTCATGTAGACTGTTGCTTTAGTAATATAAACATATTCATGTAGACTGTAGCTTTACTGATGTAAACATATTCATGTAGACTGTTGCTTTAGAAATATAAACATATTTATGTAGATTGTAGCTTTACTAATGTAAACATATTCATGTAGATTGTAGCTTTACTGATCTAAGCATTTTCATGTAGATTGTAACCCCCCCCCCCCCCCCCCCCCCCCCCCCCCCATTTTCCATAGCTTTAGTAATATAAACATATTTATGTAGATTGTAGCTTTACCAAAGGGAACATTTTCCGGTAAATTGTAATCCCCATAACTTTACTTATCTAAACATTTTAATGTAGATTGTTACCAATTTCCCTCAGATTTTGAATCCCATAATTTTAATAATATGAACAACTTCATAGGGGCTGGATTCATCATCTTGCAGCAGGTCCTTTGCAGAACGTTACTCTCATCACAGTCTGCATGAAAGAAACTCTGTCTGTTGCCAGCTTTCTTGCCGCCTCCTACCCAGGCTGTCACTTATAATGTGTGCCCATCTTTGCGCTGGTCGGTCCCTGCCTTCTTTCCTGGTATGAAGCCTTCTGCCATTATTCTTTCCAATCCACTGTGGCACTTGGTGTGGCCAACATTTTTTAGTTTCAAGACATGTTACTATTTACTAGCCAATTCTCCCAATTTTCAGATCTTTTTAAAATGTCAGTACTTATTGTCTTCTTTTCCATGGAACTCTAAGAATCTTTCTATAGCATGTCGGCTCAGAAACCCACATTTTCTTCCATAATAACTGCAAATACACGAGTCACTTCAGATTATATTCATTGCTTTACTTATTGTGAACAATTTCACATGTAATCCATAGCTTTAAGAAAATGAACTGTTCTGTATAATTACTTCTGTTTGCAAGATTATTTGCCTGCCCTTTGTGATTAATTTGTTCTTATTTATTCTGTATTTTCCACTTCTTGTTGTGTGCATGACTTTTGCATGCTTATTATCTCACTTTATGATTTCCCACATACTCGCAATAAATCTTAAGCAGTTCATTATTTGTCATGACAGTAAGTCAACTAAAGGACTACTTTTGTTGTTGAAAATATGACTTCTTGCCTCTTAAAAAAATTTTTTTTCCATAATCAGAAATTGACTATAATAGTAGTGCTTAAATTTGTAAGTAATAATTACTGAACATTTTAAACTGACGATATTTGAGTGAACAAATAAGTTCTTAAGAATTCAGTCAAAACCTGAAGTAAGTCAGATCAGATGCAATAACAACAATAATTTAGTTGGTAATGTTGAAATAACAAGACTCTTGGTTGTTATAGTTGTCAAAAAGCTCCTCCAACCCCTTTGAAACCTTATCGGTATTGTGCAACACTTGTGTAGCTAATAAAGAAACAATGTTTTAAAAAAATGAAGAGTATAATATTTATTATTTTATTAGCATTTGTAATAACATTTAGCACTGGCATTGCTGTATATCAGTTATCGCTTTGTAAATATCTGCTTGCTAAATTTTGCATCTTGAACAAGGTAATGGCCAAAAAAAAAAAAAAAGGCATATAAGGACCTTTACATGAATGTATAATATTTCGTATATATAATGATTTTTCTTTACTTATTTAATTAGAGTGTTTTTTAATTTAGAACTTCCCCCCCCCCCCCCTTTTTTTTTTTTTGCGCCTAGAAGACATGGCAATAGGAAAATGCTAAAGTTAACTATAATAGTAGATTTTTGCTTAGCAATTATAAAATGCGGAGTGCAAAAGTGTTAAACAGATCAGATTTCATAGTTTAAATATTTGGGCACAGCATTTGCCAGAGATGGCTAATTGGATGAAGAAATGTACATCTGATGTAGGAAAGCAAATCCAGTATTGGGGCAGCTCTGACTGACCTATTGTGTTTGTCCAAAGGTTCAGACAGGTTTAGTTTTGGCTTGTTTCCTGTGTTTTGGGCAGAATTTTCTTCTTCTTTAGCTTTTTCTTAGCCTTAACTAGTAAACTCTGACTGATAATTCTAATTGTTTGCTGAATTCTGGACTTTGATCTTTTTCCAGAACTTAGGTTTTGCATGCGCATCTGTTTTTTTTTTACAGATCTAGCTTATTTGTATACAGACTGTTGGTTCCTCACATCTCAGGCAGATGAGCCTAGCATAATATGTCAAGTGCACCACTAGCGCAACAAAGGGCCCTTTTACTTGTTTTGTGTCACTTACCAATTAGGAAAGGTATTTAAAATGTCTTGCCTTGTTTTCTTTATAATAGGTGTATAGTTAACTTTCAGACACCCTGGGTCTCCCTGTGATTCCAAAGGCCCTGTTGGAGGAAAAACAAGAATAGACTCACTGCCTACCCAAAAGCATGTAGCGAAAGTCGACTAATTGGGAGCTTCCTTCGAAGTCGGAGTGCATCTGCCTGAGAGCAAGGAACCAGCAGTCTGCATACAAATGATTCAGATCTGTAAAACGGATGCACACACAACACTCAGGTTTTGGAACAGGACTGCAGTCCAGAAGTGGATGAATAACCAGAACTTTCCACCAGAGTTTACAGCTGGTGAATACGAAGAAGAAGAAGACACCTTGTGTAAAACCAGCTCTAATTAAATAATCATTCATTTATAGTGAAGGCCGCTGTGGTGTAGCGGCCAGACGCTCGTCTGCGGATCTGAAGGACGTGGGTTCGGGTCCTGGCGGAGCCAGACTTGTTAAAAAATTACGTTGGTTCCTAGATCAACCCAGCTTTCAGTGGGTACCAGGTAGAGTCCTGGGAAGTAAAAGCAGCCCCCATGATGTTGACCACATTACCCATAGAGTGCCTCTTGGTCTGTAAAATATAGGCATGGAAAAGGGTCCATTAGTTTACTTTACTTACATTTATAGTAATATTTTTAGCCATAGCCTTTTTAAAATTGTTTTATATGCCCTTGTTAAAATTCAGACCGAACTGGACTTTAAGAAAAAATTACCTTGGCTCCCAGGTTGAGCCAGCCTTAGATGGGTACCAGAAAAAGTCCTGGGAAGTAAAGAGCAGCTGGCATGGTGTTGACCACATCACCTACTGAGATCCGATTGGACTATAAATATATGAGGGGAAGTCAGTAAGTCACAATTGGTTATGGGATGGCAGGAAAATGTAGTTTGGTGGTTTCTGAAGGTGTTATAGGTGACAGCAACATTGAACTTTATGTTCGGTGGCTCTAGGTGTTGCATGTGCATTCACAACACAGAAACAAAATGGCGAATAAACTTACGGGTATACCATTAAAAAAAAAACCAACGTGCTGTTGTGGTTTGAGGAAGGGGGGGGGGGGGGGGGGGGGGGGGGGGCTAAGGACTGCCTGCATGCTTCCTGTTTGTGCTGACAAATGGAGACGCAGAAGTTGAATGTGAAGTGAAAATATGGTTTAGAAAACAGTTCTATGCAGCAGGTTTGGGAGGACTGATAAAACGATGGGACAGGTGCATCAATGTTGGTAGAAATTATGTTGGAAAATAAAGGGACAGCGTATGTCTAAAAATAAACATTTTTCCAAGTTATCATCATCCTACGTTTTTCCCAAACAACCATTTGGGACTTAGCAATGAAAAGGGTCTTTTTTATATGCCTTTATTAAATTATTCCTTTACATGCCATTGGTCCATTAGTGGGCATATGATGCTAAACTCATGTCTTTATAGACCAGTCAGCACTGGATTAGTGATGGGACCCACATCATGCTAGCTACTTTACTTCCCAGGACTTTACCTACCCATTTTAGGCTGCATTAACTTGAAAGCCGAGGTCATTTAAAAAAAATCCTACTTGCTGTGTTTTTGACTTTCCTATAATGTCATCTGGTGAATCAGCGAGTTGAAATTAAAAATAAAGATTGCAGACTTGTACAGTAAAACTTGTTTGTACTCCAATAACGTTTATCTGCATTTATCAGATATTTGAAAGAATCCTGTATATATGGGCCATTCGCCACCCAGCCAGCGGCTATGTACAAGGCATTAACGATCTGGTCACACCGTTCTTTGTGGTTTTTCTCTCGGAGTATATAGAGAATGGTAAGTGAACTGCTGCTGATTGTTGGTACTGTTCGGTCTTTCCAGATGATAGTGTTTCATTGTGCTATAGGGAGGCATGGGATCCCAGCCTGTTGTTCCCTGGATCCCAGCCTGTTGTTCCCTTGATCCCAGCCTGTTGTTCCTTGGATCCCAGCCTGTCCCCTAGATCCCAGCCTATTGTGCCCTGAATCCCTGCCTATTTTCCCTGGATCCTGGCCTATCCCCCCACTCCCCCGGACCCCAGCTTATTGTTCCCCAGATTCTAGCCTATTGTTCCCTGGATCCCAGCCTATTGTTCCCCGGATCCCAGCCTATCACTCCCCAGATTCCAGTCTATTGTCCCCCCAATCCCAGCCTATTGTTCCCCGGATCCCAGCCTATCACTCCCCAGATTCCAGTCTATTGTCCCCCCAATCCCAGCCTATTGTTCCCCGGATCCCAGCCTATCACTCCCCAGATTCCAGTCTATTGTCCCCCCAATCCCAGCCTATTGTTCCCCGGATCCCAGCCTATCACTCCCCAGATTCCAGTCTATTGTCCCCCCAATCCCAGCCTATTGTTCCCCGGATTCCAGCCTATTGTTCCACCATGGGGGGGGTTATGGGGCCCAATGGTTCCCTATGAGGGTTCCAGGGCCCCATTGTGGGGAACAACATGAACAGACCTACTACTCCCCTAAAAAGCAGCTCATGAGTCGACTCTACAAAGTCAGAGTCCAGCTGCCTGAGAGTTAAGGAACCAAGTCTGTTTAAAAATAAGCCAAAGCTGTAAAACAGATGTGCACGCAAAATCTCAGGTGCTAGAACAAGACTGAAGTCCTGAGTTGAGCAAATAACCATAACTTTCTGTCAAAGTTTACAGCAGGTGTAAGTGAAGAAGAAGAAGAATAAGAAGACAGCCCATGATGATAATGATGTTCCTTCTCTTCAGAGCATAGAGATTGGGCAGTTCAGTATTGTATAGATCATAATTTGTCCATGCAGCATGATCCATCTCTTGGCCTGCTTTGGTAATTCTAGAATGAAAGATACACAAACAGTCTGACACTAGAAAGGCAGTTCTTCATCGATTTGAGCAACAGTTACATCAGGTTATAAGCTGCACACAAAATTAATCCGCGAAAGACACAACCAGCTCTGTGGCAACAGGTCACTCCCCATTTTCTGACTCTACAGTCCACAGCACAACCCGTATTGAGTACAGTCAAAAAGCATTGCAAATGAAATCTATAGCTCACAGTATCATGCCATGCACTTAGTAGCTGGGTGACGGAACTATATCCTTTCAGTCTACGTGTGTGGGAAAATGCAGTGGCCATCTATTGCCAAAAGCAGAAATTTTCCACAGTTAAAAACAGTAAACCAGCCTAACCTCCATATTGACAGAAAGTCCTCCAGAAAAAAAATTTGTATTTACTACTGACTAATTTTTCTACCTCATAAGGACTAGATTTTCTGATCATCTTCTTCTTCTTAAAGTCCATGTCCTGTGGCATTGGTAGTTGTGTCTGTCCTCAACCTTCTGTCTCATGTACTGTCAATCAGCTGACACAGATGATTGATCCTCCATGCCATGACGTCTGATCGTCATCTGGAACAGATAACTTCTGTACTTGTGTTACATGCCTAACTCATTTGGTAAATGTTCAACAGATATAGAAGTGGAGAACTGTGATTTGACAGAACTGTCACAGACGACACGAGATGTCATTGAGGCTGACAGTTTCTGGTGTATGTCCAAGCTGCTCGACGGCATTCAGGACAATTACACGTTTGCACAACCTGGCATACAGATGAAAGTGAATGCTCTGAGGGAACTCATCAAGAGGATCGATGGTAGGCTGTTGTGTGTGTGTGTGCGTGCGCGTGCATGTGTGTGTAACTTGTCATCATCATCAGTTTCCACTTCTGCCGTTAAGCGTTGTGGAGAGGAATAGTTTGTGATCCATTGAGTGATGGGCAGCTGACCTTGACTAGGAATTAGCCCCAGCCAGAAGTGTCAGTTTTGGGGCAGCAGGGTTAAATGAAATGTCAACATTCTGTGCCTGTAAAAAATCTTCTGTTTCAATTTCCTAGAGTACTTCGTTTCCCTTTATAACTTTTCTTTGTTTCTCTCTAACTTTGTTTCCCTTTGTAACTTTGTTTTTTTTTCTCTCTGTAATTTTCCCTTTGTAATTTTATTTGTTGCCATTTGGAACTTTGTTCGTTTCCTTTTGTAACTTTGTTTGTCACCCTTTGTAACTTTGTTCGTTTCCCTTTGTAACTTTGTTTGTTTCTCTCTGTAACTTTGTTTCCCTTTGTAACTTTGTTTCCTTTTGTAACTTTGTTTCTCTCTGTAACTTTGTTTGTTTCCCTTTGTAACTTTGTTTGTTTTCCTTTGTAACTTACTAACTTAGCCTCGTAGTGATAAAAGAATGAAAAAAACATAAAGTATATGTCAGCTTTACAGAATTAGTTACAGTAGACACAACAAAGGGCCTTGCTGCAATAAGCATTCATCATTAGAACGAGCACAAGAACCAAACACAACACAAAGTATGAACTAAAATAATCACTTTAACGTATTCTAATATTGTGTAAAGAAATTCACTTAATTATAGCCTCACAGTAATTTTTGATTTTTCCCTTTTATAATACTTACATTATTCTTGTGGTTTACGGTATAACAGGTTCTCCTTGCAATAACGGTCGCTACTTGGATGGCGACGGCCGCTTAGTCGGAGTTCAGTCCCCTGGCTGCAATGCAATTACGGAGTGGACAAGGCACGAATCACAAAACATGAGTTCAACATGGCTTCTAGACCACGCGCTGCGATTCACATTAGCGACCGCGTTCTTGCGATGCAAGCCCTAACCCTAACCCAAACCCTACCCCTAACCCTACCCCTAGCCCTAATTATGTCATTTGTTTCATTCCCTCTTTTCCACTCCGTAATTGCACTGCAACCAGGGGACTGAACTCCGGCGAAGCGGCCGTGGCCGTCCAACTAGCGACCCTTATTGCAAGAAGAGCCATAATACATAAATAAATTAATAATTCTAAAAAAGAAGGATGTAAGTGGCAGAATGTTACACGTCCTGTGCGTTTTGTTTGCAACTTTTTAAAAATGAAGTTTCGCCCTGCTTGCCCCCCCCCCCCCCCCCCCCCCCCCCCCCCCCGGTCACTCATTCTCTATACTCTTTCTCACTGTTTCTCACATTTTCTCTCGAACTCTCTTTCTCTCATGCACTATTTCTGCTCTCTCTTTCTTACTCTCTCTGTGTCTCTCTTTCTCTCTCACACATACACACCCTCCTTGTGTAATATATGAACACAATTATAAATTCTGAATTAAAGCCATTTCTTTGGAACATTCCTTTCAGCTCCTTTGTTTAACCACCTAGAAAGTCAAGCTGTTGAGTTCCTGCAGTTCTCATTTCGCTGGATGAACAATCTACTTATGCGAGAGATCCCTCTGCGGTGCACCATCAGACTGTGGGATACCTACCAGTCTGAGATCAATGGCTTTGCAGACTTTCATCTCTACGTGTGTGCTGCATTTCTTAAAAGGTTTTCAGAAGACGCCCTGAGAGAGCAGGATTTTCAGGTACAGTGCAGTTTGTGAAAGTTAAGTGTAGGACCCTTATCCACACATTCAGACGTATTGGGTATATGGGGCTGGATTTGTATTTTATAGGTCATTCGGCACTAGGTGGGTGATGTGGCTGATATCACGCCGGCTGCCTTTACTTCCCAGAATTTTGCCTAGTACCAATTTTTAAGGCTGCGTCAACCTGGGAGCCAAGGTCATTTTAGAAGAAAAAAGGTCAGGGTTCGTTCAGAATCAAACCCTCAGTCTTTGGATCTGCAGGCGAGCGTCCGGTTGCTGCACCATGCCGGCTCACTGGGGGGGGGGGGGGGGGGGGGGGACTTATTACGTGCGGCATGTTTAAGGCCAAAAGATTTAAGAAAACCCTATAATTTATAATTTCACTATCAGTATTTGTTGCGGCAACAGATCTTAGAGTGAAGTTTTCCAGTTTGTACAGCCTGAAAGAGTAACCAAGATGTTTTGAAAGAGGCGAGGGCCCATCAACAGACAACATATCACAGACATCAGAAGAAAAGAGATAGTCATCATTTCCTTGACCATGTTATGAGAAGAGGGAAACTGGAGCATATTGTGACCTCCAGAAAGATTTATGGAAAGAGAGATAAAGGAAAACCACATAAGAAGAATCTTGACAGCCTGTTGTTATGCCAGGGAGGGTTATCATCACTTGAACGGATGAATGCACCCGGAGATTAGAGGTTGTTGATAGGCGTGACCGCTTTTTCCGCTCTGCAAGGCACTTGATAATGATAAGTTTACTATAGAGCTGTAAAACAAACAGATCTTATAGATTGAGTGAAGTTTTCCAAAGAGGCTGTATAACCATCACTTTTTTTAAGATAAAAGTCAAGATTTCCATAGAGCTGGCTGTATAACCATCACTTTTTTTTAGATAAAAGTCAAGATTTCCATAGAGCTGGCTGTATAACCATCACTTTTTTTAAGATAAAAGTCAAGATTTCCATAGAGCTGGCTGTATAACCATAACTTTTTTAGATACAAGTCAAGATTTCCATATAGCTGGCTGTAAAACAGATTTGATAGATGAAGTGCCGTTTTCCAAAGAGCTGAATAAACAACAAACTTTATACTTAAAGATGGAGTAAAGTTTTGTATAGAACTATCAACCAAGAGACTTGATTACATGTAGATGGAGTAAAATTTATATAGAACTAAAAAACCAAGAGACTTTATACATGTAGATGGAGTAAAGTTTTATATAGAACTATGTAACCAAGAGACTTAATACATGTAGATGGAGTAAAGCATATGAATTTGCAACATCCAGCTTGATAATGGAGGTGGAGAGAGTCACTGCAGCTGTCTGCTGGTTAGAAAACACGACACACGCACCCACCCACCCACCCTCACTCACTCACTTGCTCGCTCACTTGCTTGCTCACACACTCATTATATATTTATATTATACTTATAGATGGAATTAAGTTTTTCCAGTTCCATGTAACCAATAAACTTTATACTTATAGATGGAGTGAAGTTTTTCCATAGTGCCATATAACCAACAAACTATACTTATAGATGCAGTGAAATTTTTCACTAGTGTCATAAAACCAACAAACTTTATGCTTATGGGTGGAATGAAGTTTTTCCATAATGCCATATAAGTAACAAACTTTATACTTAAAGATGGAGGGAAGTTTTCCATAAAACAATATAACCAACAGACTTTATACTTATAGATGGAGTGAAGTTTTCCATAGAACAATATAGCCAACAGACTTTTTCTTAAAGATGGAGGGAAGTTTTCCATAGAACAATATAACCAACAGACTTTATACTTATAGATGGAGTGAAGTTTTCCGTAGAACACTATAACCAACAGACTTTATACTTAAAGATGGAGGGAAGTTTCCCATAGAACAATATAACCAACAGACTTTATACTTAAAGATGGAGGGAAGTTTCCCATAAAACATTATAACCAACAGACCTTATACTTATAGATGGAGTGAAGTTTTTCATAAAACAGTATAACCAACAGACTTTATACTTATAGATGAAGTTTTCCATAGCACAATATAAACCATATAATTTAATTAACTACATTTACTACCATGGCTTTGAAGTGCACAAATTTGAGATAAATGTCCCCAGCACCCCACCCACCCAGCCAGACGACCATGCCTGTATGACACAAATATATATCTATGTTGGCTTCACATTTTTTCCTCTAAAATTTCCCCACCACACCACCCATCCAAAAAAAACCATGCCTGTATGACACAAATATATAGCTATGCTGGTTTCAAATTTTTTTCCTCTGAAATATCCCCAGCACCCCACCCACCCAAACAACCATGCCTGTATGACACAAATATATAGCTATGCTTGCTTTACATTTTTCCCTCTGAAATGTCCACATTTCCAGGGGATTCTGATGTTCCTGCAGAACTTACCCACACTTCACTGGAGGGACAAGGAGATCAGCGAGCTGCTAGCGGAAGCCTACAAACTCAAGTACATGTTTGCAGACGCACCCAGGCACCTACTGCTGAAGTCTTGACAGTAGTTTGTGTGTGTGCGTACGTGGGTGTTTTGGGTGTATGCTTGTGTTAGCAGTTGTTACCTAGAGCTGACATGTGGCTGTGGTTGTGGTGGTGGTTCGTATCCTCTCTGTTGAAATTAGCCAAAAAATTGTATCACTTTCTTTATCAATGTATATTGATTATAGCTGGGGTCTGCATTCAGTCATATGTAAATGGTTGTTATGTATAATAAAGGTTATGGCTGAGTATGTGTAATTAATTAATTAATTATTAATTTATAAACTATGAATCCATAATAGGTCAAAACATGCTGAGTATACAAATCCTTAGATTATTCATCATCATTGTCCTGTTTTGCCTTATATGTCACACAAAGCTCATAGTCTGTCCATCCTTCAGTTCTTTTCTGTGCAGTTCTTTCAGTATCATGGAGAAATCATGCGAACTTAAATGTTGGATGGCATTCATAACAGCTTATTACACATTTAGTACTGAAAAAGTTGGTTTCTTTTGGACGTCTTGACTTCCTCAATCCCTTAGAAAACTTCACTACCAGAAATAAATGCAGTACTTCTTGCCCATGTTTTCCTTTGTTTAGTGAGGTAAAGATGATGAGGGTACAGAAGGGGGGGGGGGGGGGGGGGGGTGGTTAAATCTAAAGATTTAGGGCAGTGTGTGGATGGGTCAGTTACCACGAACCTTGCAGGTCAGAATTTTTTTTTAAAACACAGCCAGAACACAAAATTAGATACAGCGTGTTTCAAATTGTTGTGCTCATTACAATATTACAATGCAGATAAAAGAGTAACAGTCGAGTCTACACATGAATACAAGTAGTTAGTGGGACTGAAAACTTGTGTAGAATTCTGGAAGTTAAAGGTAAGGGAAATTGATTTAGTAGATTAATTCTGCTGTAACATCTCATGCTTGCATCTAGAGCAGACATCTTTGTTCTCCAGGTGTTGCTGATTGTATTTTATCCAGCTGTACATGCTTTCCACGTTCACCTTCCTCCGTTTTCTTTTGCCTCTCTAGCTTTAAGTTTCCCCAGTTGTTATCGTTATCATCATCATCATGGGCTTGGCCAACCGGCCTGGGAAATTATGCCTCCCCACAACTTACGGTCTCAGCAGCATGTATCAGTGTGTGCTGATGCCCAGTTTTTTTTTTTCTTCTGGCAGTACCTGCCGGTACCCAGTTACGGCACCTTCTTGTTTGCGTCAAATTTTTTTTTTCTTTTTTCTCAGTACAGTAGTAGACACTTTGAGGTGAGTAGTGAATATTTTTTTTTTTTTAAAGTACTGTCCTTTTTAAAAAAAAAATGATAATTTTAAATTTGTTTAAACACTGAGGTGAATATCAGTACCTTTTTGTACAGAAAAACAGTTGTGATGACACCACTCCTTGCCATGATAAAAAGCTGTGAAGAATCATCTTGCATTGTTTTCCCACCATCTCTCTTTCCTCAAATCTTTCATATGTTCCACTTCTTTTCTCATACTTTTCCCCCCCCCCCCCCCCCCCAAAAAAAAAGTGACTGTTTCTTTCCTGTAGAAGTGATAACTTTGGGCCCTCATCTCTTTTAGAAAATCAGGATTTTCTTATGTTTGACTAATTTCTCTTCTTTCATGTCTGTAATATGACCCCCTGTGTATACTGGGGGTCATGTATGTATGTATGTATGTATGTATGTATGTATGTATGTATGTATGTATGTATGTATGTATGTATGTATGTATGTATGTATGTATGTATGTATGTGTGTGTGTGTGTGTGTATACATATATATATATATATACTTGGTAAGATTCTTTAGGATGTGAATTAGAGTATAAACAACAACAACAAAACAACCCACACACAAAATGAAAAATAAAAAAAAATAAAAAACAAATAGGGAAAGCTATATAATACAGTTAGTTTCGTATCATTTACAGGACTTTGTTGAACCAACCCCAACATTGGCTGTTGTTTTTCTAGACAAATTTACATCCAGTAGTCTGCCTTTGCTTTCTGGGTGGTCGGCTTCTCGATACCACTGTGGAAACCAACGCAAGGCGCAAGCCCGGCTGCTGGGATCAAACCTGACACCCTGGCATTATGAAGAGCATGCGCAACACCTAAGCCCCAGATGCAAACATTATACAAGAAAGAGATATTGAAATGAGTAACACAAGCATTGATGATGCTGTGGGTGGTAATACTTACTTGTATGGTTTAGAGCCTCTGGCAGCTAGTGTCCTCTGTGATCAGACTGTAGGGGTCAGTGGTTGGTCAATTCTTGCCATTGGATGCATTATTTGACTGAGGTGTCAGGGCAGACACGTGTGAAATCTGTATGATGTTGACAGCAGATCTGTTTTGTGTTGAAAAACATGTCTTGTGTTGATAGTTTGTTTGTTTTATGTTGATAGAACACTTATCTTGTGTTGATAGATTGTTTGTTTTATGTTGATAGAACACATATCTTGTGTTGATAGTTTGTTTGTTTTATGTTGATAGAACACATATCTTGTGTTGATAGATAATAAGTCTTCTGTTGATAGAAGACATATCTTATGTTGATAGATTGTATATCCTGCGTTAGTAGATGGTAGGTCTTATGTTGATAGATTATATGTCTTGCCTTGGTAGATCATATATCTTGTGTAAAAAAGTAAAGGTCCCTTTTCCATGCCTTTAGGCATATAGGGCTAGACCTATATTTTTTTAGACCAATAGGCACAAGATGGGTGACGTGGTCAGCATCACGCTGGCTACCTTTACTGAACCTGGTACTCACTCAAGGCTGTGTCGACCTGGAAATCAAGGTCATTTTTTTTTTTAAAGTCTGGCTCGCCAGGGAGCAAACCCACAACCTTCCGATCCGCACACAAGCGTCAAGCCGCTCCGCTACAGTGACTCCTATATCTTGTGTGGACAGATTGTATATCTTCTATTGATAGAACACATACTTTATGTTGATAGAGTGCATTTTGTTTGAAAAATTATGACTTGCAATGATAGAATGTCTTATATGGATAGACATATGTTTTATGTTAATATGTTGTATGTGTTATGTTGATAAATTGTATGTTTTATATTGATAGATTGTATGTCTCGTGTGACTTGGTGTCACACAATTTATGATTGTGGTAAGAAATTTGTGGATAGTTTATCAAAATATAACCCTTGGATTTTGGATATTATTATATTGTTTGTTATTCAGATCTTTGTGTTCCTAGTTTTTCATGGTCACGTTTTCTCTGTGAAACCAGAAGACCGTGAAATATGCCAGCAGTAATAAGTGTTATACCTTGTAAAATATGATTAACTTGTCGTAAAGACATGACATTCTAATTTCTTTGTGATCACCAATGTTTTTTTCGTATTCAGGAGGCACAGTCTTTTGTTAGCCTTCTGCGATGTTGCCTTTGAAAAAATTTATTGTATTACTTTGTAAAGCACACCAATTGTTTTCCCATTTGCATTGTTTTCTTAACTGAAATCTTACCCTGTGGGTGCAGAGTTTGATGTTTTGCTAGTTGCATATCCCGTACGGGAAAACCATCCCAACCAGTCCCAGCAGATGTTGGTTGTTTGCTGTTTTACTAGGCACTTTTGCATTCAGTAGTTTGTTATTGCTTTCTGAATAGTTTTGTGTTCACACCACTGTTGAAATCAATGCAAAGCAGTCTTTTGCCAAACCGACTGGAGCTGAATTGAACTTGATCTATCAGAAATATGATCCATGTTCACAGCCTACAAGCAACAGATGTCTGCTTTATGTTAGTGCTGTAAATATTATATGGATAGTACTTTGTGTCTAGAGCCATGGTGGTGCAGTTGCCAGACGCCTGCGAACCCAAAGACCTGAGGTTTGAATCTGTACAGAGTAAGTCTGTTGAATAATTGACCTTGGCTGCCAAGCCGACCCAGCCTAAAGACCAGAAAATGTTCAGGGAAAGTAAATAAAAGCGGGCGGGCTGGTGCGGTATCGACCCTGTCACCCACTGAGTGCCAGTTTGTCTATAAAACTATACGTCCAGCAGCATGGGTATAAAAAGGTTTAATTGACTGTATCTGTTAGATGTGTCCTTAAGTGCAGCCATATTAATTTATTTAAAGACGACTGTAGAAATGAACATTGTCTTTACAGTGAATAAAGTGTAAAGTAAACTTAGTTGTATATCCTTTACAGGATGTTGCAGAACCAACCCCAGCATTTCTTCTCTATTTTACTGGGCAGTTTGAGATTTAGTAGTTTGCTATTGCTTCTGAATGCTCTGTTCTCAGTATTCCTGCTGAAATCAGCACAAAGTGGTTTGTTGCCAAATCGCCCACAGCTGGAAAAGAACCGGGTACAGAGAGCTGACCATTCAGAAAAAGGCAAACTACTGAACTTAAAATTTGCCTAGAAAAACCACAAAAGCCAAAAAATGCTGAGGTCGGTTCTGCAGCATCCTGTAAAGGATGCACAGCTAACTAACCTAGAGGTTAGGAAGTGCATTCACAATGCCTAAGCCACAGATGCCTGAATACGGACTGCAGGTTGCACCTGGCTGCTGTGGCCATTGCAGGTGACCTAGTTATAACTTCTTTGGAGGTTGAACAGGGAATCTGGGATCTGCCTGGTTGGTCTGATGTCCAGACTGACATAAAAAAAAAATTCAGGATGGTTTGGTAGCAGTGTGGAGGGGACATACTGATCAAACCATGTGCCCGATGCACCACCGGCAAGAAAGGGGGACCTTTACCTTTTTACTTATGAGGGCTATTCCAAAATCAGCCTCAGATTGGCCGGTCAAAATGTAAACAATTTGACAGGAACATCTAAATACATATAAAATCACTACATCACTACTGCCATAGTCACCACCTAATTTCAGGCACTTGTTGCAGCGTGGTACGGGTTTTGTAACCCCTCTTCAAAGAACGTGGCCACGTGTTGCTAACTACATCCATGAGCTCCTCAGTGGTGTCAAAGCACTGGGTAGCCAGCCAGACATCTTCCCAAAGAGATGATAATTGCTTGGTG